AAGGCACCATTCTCACCACTGGGTGGCACTGATGTGTAAAGTCTACTGTTCCAACCACACTGCAGCTCGAATGAGGAAGATATAGTGTTGTCCTATGGGTAGGAAAGAAGTCACTCGTACCTGGGTTCACATGCTCTTTGTTAGCAGTATTTATAGTAAAGTGCAATTGTGTCTATGTCAACAAGGTACGACAAGCAAAAGCTCCCAACAACAATGAACCCCATAACCAACTCAGAAAAGCAAAACCAAAAGGAACACATTCAGACAAAAATGTCTCTGTAAAGCATACACATACCAATGAAAACCTAAAATTAACATTAACCTGAAACATCAATCATCAGGCATTCAAATAAAGTGTATTTGTCATTTTAGTTCTACAGTAAAAGAAGAATGGGGGACCAAAGCGTTGCCATTTTCTCCTTAGTATTAATTTATGTTGTTTTGTTCTGTGGGTAGATAGATTTTCAGTTTCAGTAGAGAAAAATATAGAAATAGAAATGATCCATCCGTTTTTTATTAACATCCGTGCTCTTCCTACCCCTGCTGGCTTCCCACAGGGCATCTGGAGGCCAGGGACACCTGTCATTGTTGACCTCTGACCCCCAGCTGCAGCTCTGTGCTGGGGACACTCAAGATGCCCTCTGACAATGTATGGAGCATACGTGCAGATGCACACACACAAACAGGCACACATGTACACACACACACACACACACACACACAGAGAGAGAGACACACGCCTAATTACATTACCTGCAATAATGCAATACACTGATGGACAGGTGCTTTCACAGACTGAATCAGAGAACACACCGCCTGTGTGCTCCTGTGTGTGTGGCTGAGCGGGTTTCCTCTTTGTTTCTCCTTTAAACAGCATTACAGGCATCCCCATATGTCTGAGACCCCTGTTGTTGACTGACATTACGGTCTGTCTGTTTGTGTGTGTGTGTGTGTGTGTGTGTGTGTGTGTGTGTGTGTGCCATTCATGTATTTGTGTGTAAATAAACGGCCTATGGAAAGCAAAAGGCTGCAGGCTGTTATCTGTTAACGTGAATGTTTGCTGTTACAACAAAGCTCTGGCTTCTGTGCAACAACCAAAGGAGATTTACTCTGACAATAAGATAACGCCATCTTTCCCTCACACACACAAGCCGAAGCTAAGAGAGTAGACAGATGTGATGTGGACACAATCACTGGAGAGCACTCATGGGAATATTGGGAATGGGATTAGTGATGAGAGCACTAGTCAGGAGAGCTCTAAGACAAAGAAAACCAGATAAAGTTGATTAAAGATGATGGAAGCTATCGTGAATTGAGCAGAGGCTTGTTCTTTTGAGTTAACTATACTGATGTTAGGGAATATACAGTCTAGTCTGATGAGGAGAATCACACCCTTTCACACGTGCTGTGCCTGCCTGGTCTCAGGCCTCATTCCTCTGAAAAACCGACCTCCTAATCAGTCCTGCAAGCCTTCTGCAGAAGGGCCATAAAATGCAAATATGTGCCAGTCTGATACCGACTCACCGCTCATTCAATCCTGCAGAATTATACCAATCATAGATGGGAGGGCCCTTTTGATGGATTGTGAGGCAATAAAGTGGGACTGGTAGGTGTGACAGCTGGGGACCATGCCCAGTTTGGATAAGAGATAACCTTATCCAGGCATCTACTGTCGCACTGTATGTCAATCTGTTTGTAAGTTTGTGATCTAATGTGGGTATAACATCGTTACAGACACCTCTGACTGTGTGTCTGTGTTTATGTGTGCGCATGTGTGTGACTGAGATGACTGTTTGTAGAAGCTTTATCAGTCAGCAACACAAAGAGCTATTCAGTGCACAGAGAGACACAACAAAGGGACAATTTAGGGCAACAAAGACACCTCCGTCCTGGAGGCCATGCTGGGTGCAAATCTGAACAAAAACCCTCCCATGAGCTGGAATTAAAACTGCATACTGCCATGAAAAATTATAACCTCAGGTAGGACAACCTGAGGTTATAATTCAGCCTAGCTAAATGGGGAAAAACGATGACAAAATAAAAGTCAGTTCACCCAAATTACAAATATGCAACATACTTTCCATTTCCCTCAACTGATATCTAGAAATGCAAATAGATTTGCCCAGGTTTAGAGACATCAATTGACAAATTACACTTAAAAATTCAGTAACATCACTTTTCAGAATCAGTATACTGTAGAAAGCAGTTCCAATGAACCCTGTTTACAGCACGCTCTGGTGATAATCCAGATAACTAAATTCCATTCATGGAGACACAAAGCTCAGATACAGAGCTCTCAAAAATTAAACCAAAACAATCTGCATAGGTAGATACCACAACAGGTAAATTACATTTTTGTCATTTTTTATACAAATATAAATAAAGTGTGAACCAACCCTTTATTCATTAGGAGGTATGATGGTAGAATGGTGTAGACTGTACATATTAGATTTTATTACCACCGTTTGAATCTGATGGTTTCCAATGGGAAACTAAGTCGATGGCACCTCTGCTCGATGACATCTGTGAAATACGAAACCAGTGTTGAATGGCACACAGGAGGCATACTTTCTGTATGCTGAGATAGGATTATAAGAGATTGGAACACACCCCGTCAATCCCAGAATAGAGTCATCACAGTTGATGGATAGGTCTGTCAAACAGGATGAGCTGATCAATGCTTTCCACCCAACCCTTCAAACATACAGAGAGAGAGCCGAATCAAACAGAGTAATCAACCACACAACAGGAAATGCAGATTACCTGTTGCTATGACGACTGCAGCTGCAGTGTGACAGCCATCCACTCTGACAGAGACCTAAATAGAGCCAGCTTTACAAGCACAGTGAAATTTGATATTGCCTAGTGGGCCAGGTGCTTCCTAATAACCAACAGTAGCAACGCAACCAGTAACCTGGCTAAAATGGAGGCTGTATGTGCCTTATTTCTCACAATCCATTTAATATGCTACATCCACATCCATAATCACATAATATGTTCATGCATATATTGATATTTGTGTTTCACATTAGTTCGCCATGTGCACTATATGCTCCAGTGAGCATGCACAGAGAACACAGCTAAATCTAAAGGTGAACACAAATGTGCAGAACTATTCTCAGATTGGTCATTTGGATCAATGTGTCTCATTCAGTATGTGGCAGGGCAGCTGGGAGTCAGAGAATGGACCCCCACCCTCTTCCCTCTCTCTACCCTTAACACCACCCCCGCCTACACCCCACCCACCCTGACTGACCCCCCTCCCCCAGCCCATCAGACACCAGCAGCTGGCAGCCTGCCCTATTTAACTCCCTCCAGCACTTACTGTGCCTGGGTAATCACTGGTGCTCAGCACCATCCGTGGGCCACCACACCTGCCCCCTCACTGGTGGGACTGTCCCATCTGGGATCTTATGATGAGGCATTTCTGGGGGGTGTCTTCTTACATCCCAAAACAGCTCAAGGTGCTGTGAAAAGCGAGAAGAAAATCAAGACGTCAGTGATTGGTGTCAAATCCTATCATTGATGTTGCATCGAGGTTCTCTTTGCTGAAACTGTTGTACGTGCAGGAAATGCTTTGTTGCACTAATGAATGTAACAATGGTAATGAGAATGTATGTGTAAGCACTTGGCAGGCTCCCAGCAGTCATAACAACAAACTTCATAACATTCAGTCTAACAGTATTTCCTGAGTTTTAGGTGAGGTTTTGAAACTGACATAGCTTCTGTAATCAGGTGCTTTTGATTTAAAAAAGCATTGTATAGGTGACAATGCAGGGCGGAAGGCTGTGTGTAGTTTGTGCTGAGATAAGCCCTCATTATTAGCAGCAACCAGATGGTGGGTTGATCATGCACATTGCTTTGCTACTGTGGTATCTATCTTCCTCATTAGAAACCACATTAACACACAGAGCATGTGATGATTTATTCAGCTTCGGTCTTGAGAAAGAGAAATGATCCATGTCAGTCTATGTTACACAACATATGTGCTCACACCAAAGGCAGTGGACCAACACAATACAATCTACAACTGAAGCTTTAACTGGGCCTTTTTGTACAAACTCAAGCTCATTTGCATCTCCTCAATTACCAGCTGATACTTGTTTTGAATTTTAAAGTGAATAAAAGAGTGAATAAACCCGTCTGTTGTTTATCTCTTCAGTCCTCAAACGCAAAATGAGCCCAGTCAGATGGTGACGTGCTCAGGACTCACACACACACACACACACACACACACATTCACTCCTTCCCTTCACTCATCCGCACTCAAATATAATTTGCCAGTAGCCATACAGTGCTGCTGGTGGGGGGCATTTATGAGGCAGATCATACGGTAGGCTTGCTCGTCAGTGTTGGGTTCAGAACAGGCGATGAAGATTCATCTCCCTTGACACGCGCTGACATAGAAAACTATATTTAGCTGTTGGCGTCCGTGCGTAAAGTGACGCCGGCGCAGACGCACGCACAATGGTTGTGGACTGAATACTGATGGGCACAAGCTGAAGCAAACGCCTCGTAGTCTGGTCTGTAGTCTGGTTATGTTTGACTTTTTAGCGAAATAATTTTGCCCTAAATTACAAGAGCAGTTCTGAGATTTCATTCTTTCGGATCTTGTAGGACTTCAGTTGGCTTTGAATAAGAAGATTCATCTATAATGTGTTCGAGTTTGAGAAATAAAATCAAAGCTGCCTTAACATACTTAACTTTAATCAACTTAATGAACAATAGGACACACATATGACAAAACTATTAAATCATTTTAGCCTAGATAATAGCCTAGTGCTGTGTATGATGCTATGGGGGGGGGTAACTATAGGGTCATAACAACCTCATTAATGAGAAACAGCCTCACTAAGGTCTCCACAGAATTATTTAAGAAGTTTCGCTGTAATTCGGCCCACAGTGCCACTCGCCCTACAGTAGGCTACTTCCAGGGGCTTGGCGAGGGTGTAGGCCTACTGCACTTTATGAATAATGAAAAAATGACGTAAACAATGCGGTCCTCTTTGCAGCTCGGGCTCGAGCCTGGAGGCGGGCGCACCGAGGCGTGATGCGGCCGTGACGTAATTCAGTCGGGGATCTTTAATCCTCTGCCGCAGCAGCAGCACAGCCCGGTAACCAGAGGAGGGGGTAGCACGGTCGGACAGGAATGGACCGCACAGGCTAAACTAGCCTACTCCAAGGCCGAAATATCTCGGGCTTTAGATAGATGATAATATAACCGAGTAAAACAGAGAATACGACCAGAACAAGCCGACTCTTAGCGCAGGCCGGACCCCCTCCTCTCTGTCTCTGCCTGTCGCCTACAACCTATTCACAGACATTTTCCTATTAAAGAGACCTCACTTAGACACGGTGGTTAAATTACAGCTTTAAACGCACATAGTTGCTTCATTTGAACGCAGAATTCGGTGTCTTTTAGCCGGCTGACGGATACTACGCCTCGTCCTGCCGGTTTCCTGCGGTCAGTTGCGTCCCGGTTCGCCCTTCAGCGCCGCTTGTTCCTGTCAGCTGCTGCGCATCAGCAAAACATGCAGGATGAGCCTGTGGGGGTGACAACCACGCAACTACCCCCGTCAACCGAGGAGAAGGACAGCAACAGCAGCACGGTCAGCAAATCCGGCAAGAAACCGAACCATACCGACAACCGCGACAGCCAGCTGAGCTCATCCGCACCGGATTACAACCGTCTACACCAGAAGATAGCTTTCCCCGGTTTCACTCGAGATCATTTCTGCCCGACGCAGTCTTTCTGTGACCTTCAGCACAGCCGAAAAATACATCAGCAGTTAAGTCAGCACACTGAGTTGAGTCCCACAGAGTCGCCCCCACCCCCGGGACATTTCATTCACCTGCCGCAGAGGCAGCCCGAGCACCGCGCTGCCGGCCCAGGCTGCGGCTCTCCACTGGAAGCGGCTGAAGCTGATGCTGCGTCGCCATCGCCCACTTCCGTAAACCCAAACAAGATCCAAATGGACTCCCCCATCGCCCACCATATAAATGGCAATGGCAGCAGCAGCACCGGCAACATGTTGTCCGGAGGTCTCAGCGCCGCTTTCCCGAACCTCCCCACCCAGGACATGCAGAGCGCCGGCGTAGGCTCGTCTTCATCTTCCCTCCCCGGGTTCGGCACCCCGTGGTCCGTCCAGACCAGCTCCTCGCCCCCTCCCGCACCCAACTCCATCAACAACCCCATCCACGCCAACGCCATTAACCAGATGCCCAACAGCGCGGACTCTGACAACAGCTTCTACCCAGGTATCCCCTCCTCCATCAACCCGGCCTTCTTCCAGAGTTTTTCGCCAGTGTCAGCTAATCCGTGCGCCGGGATTAATGTGCAGGGCTTCAGCGGTCCTTTCTCGCCCCAGATAAACGTCCCTCAGCAGGCACAGAGTCGCAGGTCCCCGGTCAGTCCCCAGATGCATCCCCAGCAGGGCGCCTTTCTGCAGCAGAGAAACAACTACAACCAACATCAGGTGAGTTGCTGTAGGGCACATAAATCACATGAAGGTGACGCAGGAGATATCCATCTCATTTATCCCTTAGTTACCTTTGACTGCCATACACAGGCCCACCATAGCTCCATCCTTTTTTTATTTGGTCAGGTGCCCATAATTCTAAGTGAAAGCAACCACTAGGATGTCCTTAGGTTAGGTAAGCATCTTGTGACGCTGCAGAGATAAAGCATAGCCTTATTGGTGTGTTTCTGTGTGTGTACATGAAGGATAAACCGTCTTTTTCTCTTCATAATGCATTGGTCATGTCCTCTGCAAGGGCTGAAGTCAGTACTCTTGAGGGAAAGGGAGGGAGGGGTGAACAGGGGAACAAGGGAGCATCACTGAATCTAGCTGTTGTTCTCTCCTGGAAGCTGGCAGTGGGATGCAGTCACATGGCACTGGGCCACCCCTGTCTTGTGCTTCAGTCAGTGGGAATACAAAGGCTTGCAGGGTTTGGTGTCCTAAATGGATGTTTATTTGTGTGAAATGAATACGTCTAGTATCTCTGTGGTGTGTGTGTGTGTGTGTGTGTGTGTGTCTAGCTATGTGTGTTGGCAGACAGTGGGGGATCCAGTGGAAAGACCAGCAATAGCAAGGCTCACATGAAGGTTCAACTTATGCAGCAGTGCTGGGGCCTGCATGCATTAGTAGCCCTCGGCTTCAGGTTTCTCATGTGATTTGCACATTGGGTGTGTGTGTGTTTTTGAGCGTGTGTGTGACTGGGTGTGCTCAAAGTGCTTCTATGGTGTTGCTGTTTCACTGACCTTTAACCCCATGCTTTGATTAGAGTGCTATGTAAATATATTTCCATAGAACCCACAAACATAATCAGAACCTGTTGGTCCCACCGTCATAGGATTAACAAATTAAAAAAGGAAACTAATTGAATCAATAAAAAAGGTGCAGAAAAAAATACGTATTTTTAAAAATAATTTGTTGTTTAAAAATAAATAAATAATTAAATGTCTGCTTTGTACAAGAGTAAAACAGCTACATTTAACATAATTCAAGTCTGTCAACCTCTGCAAATTCAATTTTAGCACTTTAGATTATCCTGTTATTTAGATAATAAAAACTACTCCTCAAGCACACCACTATCTGACCTGCTGTAGTTGTTTGCAGTTGATACAAAGAGAAAGGGAATTTAGATCACATTGTGCTCTGAGTGTGTGAGAAACAGACTGTCCTCTGTGTAAGATTTTCACGTGAAAGCATTCAAGATTAAGCATGATGCGATTGAATGTATGATATGCTTAAGAGTGGACACAAGGTCCAGGTAGAGAGAGAGTGTGTGTAACTTACACTGGCGGTGTCGCAGCGCACGGGATACTTAGTATTAGTCTTAAAGCCCTAAATCTTCTTATCTACCCACCCGCTACAGGAGCAGATCAAGCTAGGCTGTGGCTGACAGGGAGAAAAGAAAGGATAGAAAGACCGGATTGGATGAAATTGAAATAATATATCGATACTAAAAACTGACTAAAAATTTACATAGCCTTTTTAACCACCCATCTTTCCACACCTTCTGTGTGCGCAGCCTATGGTGAAGCCATCTCCATGGGGCGGTCACCAGGGGAATGGCTGGGGCTCCGGGGGGATGTCCTGGGGCCGGGACCACCGCAGAGGGACTGGCATGGGCGTGCCTGGCTCAGTCAGTCACGTCTCGCCCCTGAAGAAGCCCTTCTCGAGCAACGTCATCGCTCCCCCCAAGTTCCCACGCTCTGGAGGATCACTGGGGCCTAAGTCCTGGATAGAGGAGAACATGTTTCGCACAGACAGCAACAGCAACACTTTGTTGCCCCTGCAGGTAAATGTTTTCGGTTGTTACTGCACTGGTTGGTGTTGGTTGGGTTTGGGGGGTGTTTGTGTGTGTGTTTGCAAGTGGGTGGGTTTTGTTTTTGTGTTACAGTGTGAGAATCAGTGGGTTTAAAGGTGGGAAAAAGCGAGTAACAGAGGCATACCCAATGACTGGAAAAAGAAATGGGACAGAGAGAATGATGAAGAGGTGTGTGTTTGTTTGTGTGTGTGCACCCGAGAGAGTTTCAGGATGAGATTACTTTGTTGAAATAGAAACTAAAAGGGAATGAGAATTGTTTTTATCACTAGAAAGACTGAAAGCACAGACATACATAGACATGTGTAGATGTAAATTACCATAAAAGAGCCAGTGTGGTTAGCATTTCAATCAGGTGGGGGGAGTGAGAACTGATTCACTCTGCAGGTTTTACTAAAGGTGTAACAAAGTGGGGGCTGGGCTGAATTCATTTCCGGAAACTAACATCTCGTAGGTGAGATCTATTTCAAGTCTGCTGAAGTTCTTTTCTAATTTTATTCCGTGTTATAGTTTCCATAAGTTGTGTGTCTTCTCAGAAGTCTGCTAGAGGCTGACAGGTCTGTAAGTGATAATTAATACATGCTGCTGGATTGTATTCTGGATGATTTACCTACAGTTAGTGCCTCTTACTTTCTTACCCAAGGCTGCAATAGGGTCTACATTTCACCATTTGGTCATGTTTCGATCATACCCCTCGGATTCTTTTGGTTTTCTACCTCACTGCCGGTTTTCTTTAGCCATGTCTGACATCAACTTAGTGTCTCTTTGTGGTTCATTTGGTATTTGTGCATTTAATCAGAAGTTAGCTAAAATAACATATCAATACATTTTTGTTTGGCATTAGGGTCACTGCAGACAGAATTGCATGGACTCTAATGCATTTTATTTTCAATGATAAAATACACACAATATCATACTACATATACAACGTTTTTCAATAATAAACTGTATATATCATATCATAAACAAGTATAGAATATATACTGGTAATAATTATGATTATTTGTGCAAGGAACAGTATTTAAATCGTTTTATAGTTATCTAACTGGAGTACTTTTCATTTTCTGCGATGCATCTGTAGTTTATAATTTTTGATGCTACTTTTTACAGTATTTGTAGCTAAATAAGGTTTTAATTAATGTGTGAAAACAGTGACTGCCTGGTGAGGCTGTATGTATAAGGGCATTCCACTCTTCACTGTTCACATAAGACTTATTGTACTGATTGTATTACTGTACTGAACAGTGTATTTCTTCACAAAAAGAGAGTACAGTTTGTAATGCAGCGTTTTCCTGAATGACACATATTTAATACTCAGTAAAAGTCATGAAACTGAAACTCTGTTAATAAATTACTGCTGGAGTGTCTACACACATAGGGATAATGGCATATTTTAATTACCTCTAACAGAAAACATTTTCATTACTGTGACTCATTCTGGCTAAAATAATGATACAACCTAAATAATGGTGTCACCAAATGGTAATACTGTTGCTATGAGCTCCAATTATTAGTGATATCAGTGCCAAGAAGTACAACGCTTCCTATTCCAGGAAACAGGCCTGACTCCATGGATTGTTAATTTCCATAAACAGTCTCGGACCCAGAATTTTTCAGATTCCAAGTCTTTTCCTTCCTTCCTTTCTGTTTAATGTTTGGCACTCAGTGACACATCTTTGCTGTGTCATGTTTTAGACATCACGCAGAGGTAGACTGAGGAAGATAGGAGAGTCGCTTCTACTTTCAGTAAGACAGTTCTTAAAATAATACAGAAATGTTATTAATGCATACCATCAGCCTGAAACACTATATACTTAAAGTAAAAGAGAATATCCACCTAAAACCATAATTCTCATGTTGAACTTTTGTACGTGTTACAATATCCCCCCTGATCCATACTGGCAGACAAGTGAAGTCTCTTTGTAGACACACATCCAGTTCTGACTGATGACTTTAAAGCACAGTGCCTTTCCCCATTGTTCTGGATATTCCACAATCCTCTCTGTTAACAGAAGAAACTGCCCCTGTTGACGATGGGCTCCATTATATTAATGTGATGGCAGAATTATCAGAGACAGATATTTCCAAGGGTGGAATAATTAATATGGATGAGAAACCGATTCAAATGTCTGGCAACCCGTTTTGGATGAACCGATGAACTCATAAACAGGTAATGCGCAAGGAAGATGTAAGCTTACTGGATTATATTCCTTGCCTAAAAGTCTATTAAAAGAGCATTTTACAACTCTTCATTCTCTGTTTAATGAATTACTGTCACTACTGTACTAAACTAACAAAGGGCAGTAAAGTATGAAAGATTGACCTTTAATCTGCTATTATTATGGGTGTGGTAAGGTATGTTAGGCACTCCATGGTGTGCTAGTCACCAGAATATTACCATATGAGTCTGTCATAGCTGGTCATTAAAAAGAACTATCTCACTGGCCCGCTGATGAGCTCATAACCTCTGGTTCTGGTTTCCATTCTGTCTCTGTACGTCTGTGGGAACAAGTCCAGAGATCCTGGGGAATCCGTCCTATATAATAGGCTGCTCACAAACATACCTTCAGACTGTGAAAGTGAATAAATACGGAAAGAATGTTAATCCGAGCGTGAGCCACTCGCTCTCTTAAATCTCTTACATGGTAAGCCAAATACCCTCACTTCAGAGGCTTTGTTATTTATGAGCCAAATCATGAAAGTGTGTTAGAAACGTGAGGAATTAGACATGCATCAGGAGGTGTGTTTGTTTTGTTAGCTCTGACTTTAAACCATCACGCGTGTGTTTTTCAGGAGCGCTCCAGAATGTACGACAGTCTCAACATGCACTCCCTGGAGAGCTCCCTGATTGATATCATGCGAGCTGAGCAGGATCCGATGAAAGGTAAGATTGCCTTTCCCTTTCTCTCTGCGTTTTGGGAAGAGGGCGGGGTGGTCGTGGTCAGCAAGGAGGCCACAACATCACACAGGGTGACTTGGTGCAGGGGAGTGACAGCCCCATTGCTCCCAGAGCTGTGTTGTTTTTCCACACACCAGCTTATTCTCTCCCCCGCTGAGAGCCTGATAATTCTGCCACCAGCTGCACATTTACATGACCTTCCAGCTCTGATCCTGTTGCTACTTAACCTGGGCAGCACACAGAGCTGAGCAAGGAGTGGAAGAGAGATCAGGAGAGAAATGGTGGTACTTTTGCTGTGGATATCTCTTCGTTACAGATGTTTTCTGACAGAGCAGGCGTGTGCATATTACACATGACTCGGAATCTTTTAACTAGAAGATGTATTAATAGTCCGGGGTTTCTTTTGAATTATTCCTCAGGGTTTGGCAGTAGCAAGCAGGGAATGTACTGCAGGGTGACACTGTCCTGGCCTACTGGGCTCAGCTGCTGGACATCAGAGGAGCAGTGTCAAATAACTGCACCGCTCTCACCGTCCTCTCCTGCTTGTGGCTCATTTACGGCCTCACAGGCTGGCTACACTTTCACTTTAAAATGTGACCCAGAAATAACAACACTGGCACATGCGTAGAAGCAGCAAAATCACTGAGCAGGTTTCTTTTTTTTTTTAATTTGTAGTCTCTTTAAAGACACTGCTAAAATCAGGACCCAACCTGTGCCCTTCTTTCTTGGGCGAGTTTCTTGTTTTCCCTGCCGGAGCAGATGGAGGGGACATGGGCCAGTGTGCACAGCAGAGAGAGGGGGATCTAGACTAATTTTAGACGTGATCACACTTCCACACACTGTGCATGACAGCCAAGAGAGGAGATGAGAGGGAAGGAGGGCTTGCAAGGGTAGGCTCTGCCATTTATAGCACTGCCACAGCTAACACAACAGTGTGCAATATCCTGAATAGCTGCCTCGAAATACAGGACTTCAGTAAGCAAAAACTGCAGCATTGCAAGTTTTTTTAAAAACTATTTTTAACTAGCCAACGAAGCTTGAACAGTTCAAATCCATAAGTACATTTTCTTCTATGTTGAATTTGAACATTTTCTGAGTTTGGGTTTCATTCAACGGCAGAATCAAAAAACACTGACAGACAGCAATACAAGCCCATATTGGGCTCAATACCAAGATACAGCCTATACCTGTTTTTCGACAAACAAAATCTTATGCCAGCAGATATGATATGTACATGATCTACATTTGTATATAAACACAAAATGGCTTGCAGGCGAGCCATAAAAATGTGTTAAAAAATGACATTGACGCTGAGCTTAATGCAGAACAAAGCATTTCCCTTTAGAGAACCAACCAAAATTATTTCAGTATTAGTTTGGTCTAAATAGTAGTTTAGTTCCCTTTCTCGCAATATCAACTCAAGGTATATTCGGGGATGAGGACAGCTTTGTTCCTTTGGCTGAGCATAGTGCTCGCTGTAGACATGTGAGAAGGCTGCTGTAACATTCACAGGCAGACATTGTAGTTATATGTGTGTGTGTGTGTGTGTGTGTGTGTGTGTGTGTGTGTGTGTGTGTGTGTGTGTGGTTGTGTGTGTGCTCTCACTCCCATGTACACACATTGGCCTCGCCCTGTCCTCTCCATCTGCTCTGTGTCTCATCCCTATTTGTGTGTGTCTGTGTGTGTGTATGTGTATATGACGTGTGTGTCTATTTCTCATGTCAGGCCGTGTGGGATGCCCTAACCCCGGGGCTGACGGCCTACTCATGCTCAATGGTAATTATCTCTCAGCATCATCTCCCTCTGTTGCAGATTTTCTGTGTTTCCATCCAGCTGAAACTGAAAATGAAACAGTCCTCAGAGTAACAGTGGAAGCATCAGGACAACTGTGTCTCCAGCTCATATGATGCTTCCACTGTTACTCTTTGGCCTCATTTGACACGCTCACGAGACACAGTGAACAATAGGGTCACAGTAGCAGGTGACATGTGGTAGGCCTGGAGAAGAGAATTTCTACCAGTGTTTATTAATCTGTTTTCTATTTTCTTTCACAAATCCATACAGTGTATTTGCACAAAGCGTCATTTGTCATGTAGTGCCACCCTGGGCTCTATGAACATTGTATATATTTTATATTTTGTAATGTTACCATCGCTGTAGCATTCTCCCAATTACCTTAAATTTACCATACTAATGGTTTGTGATAGCGCTCACATGATTAGGAGTGTTTCCATTGTTATACTAAGTCACTCACCTGAGGACTTGAATGCACCACAAACAGATTTTGTGACATCCCTTCATTAAAATGTAAATCATTTCAGTGCCTCTTAGAATAATTGCTGTCCTGCAGACCCTTCTTTTGCCTCACATGTGGACATAAAATCTTGTTTTATAACAGTCTCGATAGGTCACAAATCTGGGTCAGACAGCTTTTGCAGATATTTGTGAGCTTGATTTTTATTGTCTGCTGGTGGGTGCTGTTTCCTCCTGAGACCCAGAACTCAGACATTCATTTCTGTCCCGTGTTTGGCTCATGTCTCTGAGGCCAAACATGTTGCTGAGATGAGGCTTGTTGTCCCTGACAGAGGACATCCAGGGCTTTTCAGTGATGTAACATGTGGAGTTGAACCTTGACAAGTTTATTTTCTTGGGTTTTCAAATAGCTTCCATCAGATCTGCCGTATTTTATGGAAAGAAGAAAGTGTCCAAGGCGTAGTTCAATGAGTTTTTAGAGCAGTGAAGTGATTTTGCTCACCCGGGAAATGCTTTTGTATGTGTCATCTATAAAGACATCAGGCATTTTTATATATTTATTTGATGTGTTTTATTACGCAATGTAGAAAATTACATATAAATGCAAAACTCCAGATGTTTACACTTTGCCTTGATGTCCTCAACAAAGGATATATTGGGTTTCTTTGCTATTATGTTTATTTCATCCAAAGACGTGATGTAGGAAAAAATCTTGTTCTGGGTCTCCAGAGGATCTAAGCTAAGCTGTCCGAAGGCAGTGCACTTCTTCTTGATTGACAGCTTATTTAACAAAAATAAATTGATAGGTTGTTAGATAAAGAGGTGATTAGAGAACACTTTAGATAGAGGGCCATAGAGGTTACATACTTTTACACACACTATTTGAAAATGTCTGCATAGCTGAAACTTGCCCTCTGTACTTTTCTACATGCAGCCAGGAGCTATGGGAGACGTCGAGGTAAACTCAGCTTTCTACAGCTTGTCTTTTTCCTTGTGGCTTATTCTCTTGCGGCATGCTTTATTGCTTGAATGGATACCAAACTGAGGCCTGGAGTCAGACTTCAAATTGTCTTTCTGTGTTTAAATCCAGGAACACTTTTTCTATTTAAAATTTTTTTGTATGTTATACGATTGTTAAGTTAAAATATTTGCCAATAAATTATAGTCTGCTTTTCCAAAAACAAAAACAAAACACTTAACGACTGTATTATTTTAGCATGCAGACATGCATGATGTCACAGTGGTTTGGTCTCATTTATCTCAAGCACTGTGGCAATTGTGCCTTTGCTCTATGGAACCCCGGTCTTCAAATAAAAAGACATGAAATAAAAAAGACATATAAATAAAATGTCAAATATATAAATGGGCCAATAATTAGTGAAATAATCAAAGTAATTATTAAAACTCGACTCTATTATGAAATGTTATTTCATCATTCTTTTTCATGATAACAGTTTAATTGGATCATTTTGATTTCATTATACACATTCTTATTTCCAAACGCACCTTTCCAAAAGTCTGTTTTTATTTCATAATGGCATTTTTCCCAAAAACGGTTATTTCGTATCACGTTGTATTTCATAATGTCACTTTTAATGATGATGCATTTTATTTCAAAACTGCTACCAGACTTAGTGTGGTGTAGTGCTAAAGTTATTCTGAATCAACTAACTGCGGGTTGCTGCTGTAAATAAAAGCAGTCCACAGACACTGTATCTAAACCTCTTTAGCTTTTAAGCCTTAACCTAAGCATCAGCAGCTGACTGAAAAGCCAGTGTTAGCAGTGTTAGCAGTGTTAGCTAGCTCCTGTTATTTTGATCTTCACACAGTTATGTGTCTTTCTGTCTGAAAGAAGTCTATAAACCTTTATTCTTTCTAATGGCCAGAATTTCCAAAAATGGTATCAAAAAGAAGATTTATTGTATGGAAGCTTATGAGATGATGACCCTACTTCTCACTTGATTTAGTCATTAGTGATTTTATGGTGTCATTCAAGAGTTTCAAGTCTTCTTCCATACAGCATGATGTTCATTTAGTAAATTACGTTCCCATTTAGAGTAAAGTAGACAATAAAGCAGGATATGCTTAGCGTAGCAATGTCCTCCCCAGCTCTACTTTCTCATTCAAATATGGTCACTTCTGGCTTCAAAGAAGCAAGATGGCGACAGCCATAATGTGAAACTTGATGCTTCAAAACTGTAGTCCACTCCCCAGTGGGTGACATCACAGTGGCTCAGTCCACTATTTATTATACAGTCTATGCTCCAGGTAAAAAAGATGCAGGGGGACATCTGAAATGTCATTATGAAATAAAAAAAATGACTTTTGAAAAAGAGCATTTTAAATATAAGCATATAACTAAATGTGAAATTAAATCTAAAATCTAGTCTGAGTAGAGTTTTAGTAATTTCTTAAAATATTTCTCAAACCACTGTTCCATTTATACATGAAACAATGTATTCATATTACTATTTATTTTGTAACTATTTATTAATTCAACATTCAACAACACTCTCCATACTGCTCAGCCATGTTATTAACAGCTTTGTTCCACACAGCTGGCCTTTCCACACCTGCTTTATTTACCACACCGCTCAGAGTGGAGCACACACAGTTCCTCACTTAATGCTGGTGCTTTGCTTCACAACCACTCAATGTAAAACTGCACTAAAAGCACAAACATTATTTTATAGACAGACTCTCCTCTGCATTTGTCCTTGTTACAGCAGAGGCATACAGTCCCATAAAAGGCAGATTCATTTGACTGCATTTAAATCTGTGATTGTGATTTGTGTTTCTGCTTGCGTGTGTGTGAATGCCTGACAGTTGCTGTAGACTTAACTGCCTCTTTTTATCCACCAGGCCGCTCCTCCCTCTTCCCTATTGATGACAATCTCCTCGATGATGGCCACGGCAACCAGGGTGTACCAGGAGTCCTCGGCTCCCCCAACTGTTACCCCCACCAAAACGGGGAACGCATCGAGCGTTTCTCCCGTAAGGTGTTTGTGGGAGGTTTGCCCCCTGACATAGATGAAGGTGAGGACAACTATAACTCACTCTATGAGTCTTTCAGGACTGCACTATACTGCTGTCTTCTATTCTAACTTTCTCTTCTCCTTTTTTTCTACTTTCTTTCAGATGAAATAACTTCAAGCTTCCGCCGCTTTGGTCACCTGGTGGTGGACTGGCCACACAAAGCAGAGAGCAAATCCTACTTTCCACCTAAAGGTATCAACAAAAGCACCCAGCCTCCATATTAAACGCACATTTATGACTTCTAAACCTTATTAACGGAATAGTTGGGATGCAGTGTCTTATTTATTAACACCATAAAGTTATGGTGTTAATAAATAAGGCATAATTTAAATACTGATGGTGAGGACATTTGTTAGACAATCTTTATTTCTGTGTGTTTAATGCACAAACTGAGGCTGTGAATGTGTGTGTGTGTTTCCTAGGATACGCATTCCTGCTGTTCCAGGAGGAGAGCTCAGTGCAGGCTCTGATTGAAGCCTGCATGGAGGAGGATGGAAAGCTCTACCTGTGTGTCTCCAGCCCCACCATCAAGGACAAACCTGTGAGTTCAGCAGCACCAGCTCACACTGAAAAGACTCAGTGCTGCCATTATAGTTTCCCTGAATAAAGAGGGAGGGGATTTACAGTTCAATTTAATTTTGTTTCAGGTGCAAATTCGACCTTGGAACCTGAGCGACAGTGATTTTGTGATGGACGGATCTCAGCCCCTCGATCCCCGCAAGACCATTTTTGTGGGCGGTGTCCCTCGTCCCCTGAGAGCAAGTAATTACACTGCCTTTGTTTTTCCTTGAGCAATTTCATATCAGTTTAGGAAGGCCTTTAGATTCAGACTTCTGGTACATATAGCAATAAAGCATCAGCTGTATGTTTGATGACATGAATCTGACAGCTTCTCCCCTACTCTGTCCCCCCCCCTGTAGCATAACCTTCTCACATCCTCCCACAACTTTCTTTGATCCCTTCACTCATCTAAATATATATTCTTTCTTTTTCTACTTTCCTTTTCACTCTCTGCCTAGTTGAGCTGGCCATGATTATGGATCGCCTCTACGGCGGAGTCTGCTACGCAGGTATTGACACCGATCCAGAGCTCAAGTACCCCAAGGGGGCGGGGCGAGTGGCCTTCTCCAATCAACAGAGTTACATCGCTGCCATCAGCGCGAGATTCGTCCAGCTGCAGCACGGAGACATTGACAAGCGGGTACAGCCTCCCAAATTTCCTATTTTTTCATAAAGTCTGTATGACTCAGTCATCATTAGGATGTGTATGTGTGTGTGTGTGTGTGTGTGTGTGTGTGTGTGTGTGTGTGTGCCAGCAGCCTCGCCACAGCAGCTTGTTACTAAGACGAAAGCTTATTAGGGCTGATTGAATAAGCTTCCTTCCTAGTGTCTGCTGCTACAAGCCTTGGCCTTTCATAAACGTACACATTGTTTTTTACTGTATGTATTTATGCACTTTCCTCGTCTTCTCTAAAATGTGTGTACGCAGGTGGAGGTGAAGCCCTACGTCCTGGATGATCAGCTCTGTGATGAGTGTCAGGGTGCACGCTGTGGAGGGAAATTTGCTCCCTTTTTCTGTGCTAATGTCACCTGTCTGCAGTACTACTGCGAATTCTGCTGGGCCAACATCCACTCCCGCGCCGGACGAGAGTTTCACAAGCCCCTGGTTAAAGAGGGAGCTGACCGCCCGCGCCAGATTCACTTCCGCTGGAACTAGAGATGTGACTACAGCCATGGTGACACAGTCAGAGGGAAGGGAAATGAAACACTGGCTAACAGCAAAAAGAGTGTCGCTCTGCCACTCCTGCTCTCCTAAGCTATCAGTATAATCGAGTACGTAACACAGTATATACTATATATATCTATATATCTTTTGTAGCAGCCAAACACCACAAGCCTCAGTTTTTCACCAAAACCCCCCTCACATCTCAGGCTCTGACAACTCTACAACTCTTTTGTGGTACTTTCATCTTTTCTAAGAGGAGATTTAAAAAGAGATTGATTTTTGTAGGTTTTTTTATTATTATTATTTTTGTATGTGAGATTTAAAGTAGATATGGGAATGTTTTTGCATGGGGGCAGCTCGTCTGTCTGTTTGTCTGCTGCTAGCCACCCTACAGTGCGTGTAGTGCACACTTGTTTCTGGGAAAACCTTGATTCTCTAATGTTGACGCCTGCCATTAACCAAAGGTAGCAAAAAGATAGGACGCATAAAATTGACACATTTTCTGCCGCAAAACAAAAACGGTTGTTTTGTAACATTACCATGGGCTCTTTCTTCTTGTTAGAGGGTTTATTAAAAATGATATGATAGGGTTATTTCTGCGCTCATACTGACCCATAGAGTGATACCTCAAAATACTAAATCTGGTTTCTGCTAACTGTATTCAACATTTATACTTAACAAGCTATTTTAGAAGCTTTGCTGCTATATATACATATATATGAATAAATGTGTAGGTATTATATTTAATGCCATTTATAAACCAGAATCATGTAAAATGAAATGCAGTATGCACTCAACCACTAATGGCCCCCATTGCCATGGAAAGTGCATGTTTGCGACAATAGGCTTAGTTACACAAATAGCATGCAGGATATATGTGAGAAAAACAAAAACAAAAAACAAACCACTGAAGTCATAATTAAAAGACATAAAAGTCTAAAGTGAGTAGCATGACCATCATTTACAGAGGCCTAAGAGGGAAAAAAAATCAGACAAAGCTAAATAAGTAAAGAAAAAAACATATTTAAACTTGCATGCATTGATGTTTATCTGTTGTTTACATACTTAATGATACAAAAAGTGATATTGGTTCTACTGTAGACTTAGTGGACGCCATCATTTTGTGACACATGATGGCCTGTATGGCAAAAAAAAAAACTCCTGTCGAGAAGCAGAGTGGTGTTCAGTGGTTTGTGTTTGTGTCGTCCCTGTGCTGTGTGACTGTTTCTAGTGTAGACTGAGGCTCTAGTTTAGTTACCAACAGATGACGTAGAGGAGAAATCAAACATCAAAATTACTCCTGCCTTCACACCTTCCTATCCCGCATCTTTGTATGCTTCCAAAGGTTAATCTGATAGTAGCACCGCCCTCCCAGACCAAATGCAAACAAAAAGACTGGATCGTGGGCCTCTAGACTGAAGGTCGCGTTAGGAATCATCCTTAGGACATTTTGTAATGACAGTCACGCTGTGTGGCTGCGGCTCTGTGAATCCAGGGAAACTCTGGCTCAGTTATGATGAGGACGATGACACTTGGTCTCTTGGCGTGCTAAAGATGAAGCTCTCCTCTCTTTGTTTGTGCTGTTTGTCTGTTTGATTTCCACCGTGACCCTTGAATTACTCTTTAAGAAAAAAAAAAACTATTTAGGGACAATCTTTCTGTGAGGACGGTGGCCCAGCCGTCCATTTGGTACTGTACAAGTGTGTCGCTCTCGTGTCGTCGTTGGTTTTTGTGCTCCACGCCCTGGTGTATCGGTGTTCAGGCGTCAAGTGTGTACTGTTACAAAAACCTTAATGAAACTGAGACTCTAAGTTCATTTGCTTATAGTTGAGTCATATAATTTAATTTGTTTGTGTCAACTACTTACCCATCACTGGCCCTTCAATATGTTTTTTATAATATATATTATGCACTACTTTTTCTATATCCCCACTCATTTGATTTCTTATCCACCCCCCCTTAAGTGATTTCAGTGCAGATTCTCTGAAACCTCCACCTATTTATGATTCTACAAATGATTTATTAAATTTTATTTTTTCATGATTACTTATTTAAGATGTAGCGTGAAGCAGTGGTCTTAAGTTATCTATATTCTGTATGAGTAGAGCAGGAATCCAATATGTTCTAATATATTCTAATGTAGTCTGGATGTTGTGGGGACCGGGAGTCAGAGAGCGGTGGAGGTGAAAGTTAAGTTAAGTAAGCTCCCGTCGTCCCCCCTTGTGGCTTTAGTTCTCATGATGCGAAACATGTTTGAATATCGTCACCTGTAACACTTGACTCGTGCTGTTTTTGTGAGGTTCTATTTTCTATGTTGAACACTGTTACTTTCTTCTGTATGTGTCTTTGTTTTTGTAAAAATCATATTTATTTCACTATTTTTGTAGACAAAAAAAAAAAAACTATTTGATTTTGATTGTATTTTTCTATTTGAATAGGACTATTATACAATTTATTTCCCCCCAGTGCTAATTATGTCCAAAAGTTCTGTTCAAAGACAAAGAATCATGTCATTAGTAACTACATCAAAGTTTTTGATATACAGTTGATCTTATTTTGATACACATGACACATTTCATTTGAAGGAAGGAAACATGAAGGTTTTATTATATTCTTGGAAGACACTTGAGATTCTCCCCTGTTGCATCGAGGCCCCAGCTGCCTGTCCTCGTAGATGCTCTGAAACTTGAATATAACACATTTTGAAAGGCTGACTAACCTCGAATCTGTGTTGTGATGTGCAATACTGTTTCTAATGTTTGTATAAAAGTAAGAACTACAGTGTAAACCTTTTTAATGCAGATTTATTTTTTTCATTGCATATTTTGCAGATTTCTGATCCACAGTGTCATTTTTTACTGTCAGAAAAATAAACCCCGTTTTTTCATTGCAACTATTTTTAAATCCAGATATCTTTGTACTGATGTAAATGATTGTAGTTATTTTGGATAGTGTTTTGCTAACAAAAGGAGAGACTTTTTCATGCATATTTCTATTTCATTTCATCTTGTTTTATCCCACGTTTTGTTTCATTTAATAGTAGCAGAATTCTTGGAATATTTTTTTCATATTTAAATGTCATTGGTATTATTTTGTATTTTTATGTGGAAATACACTATATATAAATTTAAGATGCTAATTGCTAAGATATTATTTTGAGTTTAATTATTTTTAAAGCTAAATATTTGTAATTTTATTGTTAAAGTGACTAATTTCTAAATCAGAGTTTGTGTATAGATTCACAAAAGTGGTTTATGAGGTGTTTGGATTGTAATTATTACTGAATGGTTCTTTGATATGCAAAATTAATATCATGTTTATTTTTATTTTTGTTGGTTTTGTATTTAAATGGGGTGTTGATTACAATCTTTTTTTTCTTTCACTTCCTGAATAAAGACCCATTTTGTTTGGAAACAACATGGCTGCTGCATGCTGCATGTGTTTGGAAGGAAACACACAAAATCATGAATGAATAATAGGAGAATGTGCTCACATAATAATAATATATTTATTTAAGCTTCCACTACATTTATCTGACACCTGCTGTTGCTTTGCAGATTAAGATTTTATTACCAAAATTCACAATATGCTTATTAAATACAATACATAAAGTTTAAACCAGTGATTCGCAGATATTTGCCATTTCAGCATTTTTGTCATGTTTCAGATGATTAATTATTAACATTTATGCATATATACAAATAATAGTTATATATATTTATATATTTATAAAATGTTTAGCAAACTAACTGAACTGGCTAATTATAGCCTGCATTGTCTGCAGAATGAGTACTTTTACCTTTGATACTTAGTGTATTTTGTTGATAATACTTCTTTACATCATTTAATCTGTAATTTATACATGCACATTTAGCTGATATAATAGCTTTATTCAAATAACTAGTCGTGTTAATATATCATTATGATGTTGGAAACATATTTTTCAGATGGTATCTACAAGGGTAACCTCAACCTAACCATATGTGGTCACAAGTCCCCCAACACGCCTCTACACATCAGTTCTGGCCCCATCTAGGGGCAAGTGTCAGAAATACAAGTGAAATCAACACTGAGGTCAACAAGGCACAACTGACTTCTGCCATCTATCAATCTGACTTTTCATGCAACAACTAACAGCCTCACTGTACATGATCCAAGCTGCTGACTTCTATGCTGGATGTCTCGTATTTAAAGAGTCTTCATCAATGACATAATGGAGTTGGTTGTGTACGCACATACTGTGCTTGCCTGGATGATAGTTGTTTGCCTTGGGAAGTTTATGTGGCAGAGAGGGAAGGGAGTGGATAAGGGTGAGGAGGAGGGAGGGAGGGTTGGATGGAGTCCAGGCTGCTGCTGTTGCACTACAAGACACCGTCAGCAATGAGCAGCTGAGCTCTGCACGCAGATGTCTGAGAGCACAGCAGAAAAAGGACAAGTAACATGTTAACCAAGGGGCCAAATCATCAGAAAGACTGGAATCTGAGCAGATAGGACGAAGACACTCAACAGTGACAATTCTGATCAGCTTCGGAGATGAACAGCTGCCAATTGTGGGGTAAGAACACTGGTCACATATCTCTGTACTGTTCGTTGATTATCACAGAACATCTTTCATTCAAAAAAGGAACAGAAATGTCTTACATTATAGAAACACTGATGTATTTAAGATTTTCAGTAGAGCTTGCAGAGTGAATACCTTGAATAACTTTGCAAATACCTGTCTGCCTGTGTCACTGTTTGTGTACACTTGTAACCACATGTACGCATGCATGGTCTCAAAGTGTAGTTTTACACACATTTATATAAATATATTGAAAATGTTTTCCCTGAAAGAAGTTTGATGTTTAAAAATGTGTCTATTTTCCCCCACAATGATACACTGCCTCAGGAATTATTGTGAGACTTGAGTCTGACATTAATTACAAATACCTAGAGGACATGGCAGAGGCTGCATTTGCTTAAAGTGGACACAGACATTTTTAGTGAATGACATCCAAACACAATCTTTTCATTTGAATGCTCCACCTGTTCACTGGGAGAACACAATGAGAACACAGTTCCTAGTGGGACGTTAATGTCTTTATAAGATCATTATTCAGTAACAAAGAACCACTGCCGTCAGAGTTTGAAAAATGACTATGTTTTGGAATTAATGTTTTTTTTTTTCTTTTTTAAAATGTAGCTTGTAAGTTTATGATGTGTGTATCTGTGTGTGCGAGTAGATTTTTTTGCATACATTCACTGTATGTCCTCATGCTCACGTACAAACCCCTGTGTGTGTAAAAAGAGGAACATTTTTTTTAATAATAGCCATTTTACTAATGCTGACATCATTGCTGCAGAACGGAATTGGCGGGTGGGGTTTCTCTCTCACAGGACCTCACACTGGCTCCATGACCAGTTCATTAACCTAAAAATCAAAAACATGCTACACTGACTTGATGACGTGTGTGTGTGTGTGTGTGTGTGTGTGTGTGTGTGTTTCACAGAGCAACTTGTTCATGTTGCCTGTGTGCGCTAAGTGTCTGGATGTACTTCCTGTTTACCTCATTGTGTTTATTGTCTCGTAGTACTCACATCATTTGTCTGATGTGCTGGCATGTTGCACTGATGGACGAACCGAGTGCACGATGCCAAGGAAAACATGTTGCAATAAAAAAAAAGACACACTTATTTTTAAAGAGAGACGAGGGGATGTTCCTTCTCTGTAAACCTGACACACATGTTCCGACGCCCCCACTTATCAGAGACAGCCAGGGCCAAAGAGCAGATGCAAAGCTCACATTCTCACACCCACATGGGCAAAGAAACAAAGAACAAGCATGTGCATCCACAAAACCGTTCTGTGCATTTAGTCAAACTCCCAACAGATTTTCTTGGAGAAGAACACATTTTGTTGGTAAGATTCCAGAGATGGCATCACTATGGAAAGCATGACAGGTTGCCAGAGTGGAGATAAGTATGTAGTCCCTCATTCACCACTGCAAGATTCCCATCAGAGTTATTAGTTTTGAACCCATGGCTATTTCGCATGTTGAGATCATGTCTCTGCCTTTCTCTCAGTGCATCGTAAATGTGCACCGTTTCTGCCTGCTCAAGTGCCATTGCTTCATGATTTGGTTCCCCTGACACATATTGTGCTGGATGTTATGTCAGAACTTGGGAATGTTTTGGCAAAAAAAAAAACAAGACTTGGAACAGAGACAAAGGTTCCGTTAGAGGTCTCTCACATGCAGTTATGTGGTGGATGAGAACATCAGCGCGCGAGACAACAGTCAAAGAGCAATTGCTTCTCATTACAAGAGCCACATCTGGCCTCATGCTGCACTTAATCGAAAATTTGATTCACTGATATGCTTTTGTTCTGTCTGCGCCCATGACAACACAAGTGTTTTATAGCATTGTGACAACTGATAACAGGTTCCCATTTCTGGTCAGAGCATGTTCAAGACTCTGGCACCCAAACACAGCGTTTCTGTTTCATTGTTCGCTTTTCATCCGTCCCCTTTGCTCTGAATATCTGCAAACACAAAACTATTTTGTTCTGTTTTTTCTAATATCAAAGTGAGGCACATCAGACATGTCCTCAAAACATAGAATAATTTCTCTATTCTAAAAAAAATTGTTTGCGTTTACAGATTTGAAGATGTGGGTGCTGATGGGAGTAGTCTGTCTGTGCCACTGTGTCTTTGGACAGCTGTTTGAGAGCAAACTGAAAGGAGCACCACGACTGATCTGCAGTGTCCCCGGGTCACCGGGCCTGCCTGGCAAACCTGGTCCCAGTGGGGCCCTGGGAGCTGATGGGAATGTGGGTATCCCAGGAAGAGATGGCAGAGATGGCAGGAAGGGTGAAAAGGGAGAAAAGGGAGACACAGGTATATTATGAAACATAAACGGATACAGCATCAGTTTACGTGTGCAGAAAAATAAACACTACCACCACTCTGTGCCAGAGATAGCTGGCACAGAAAAGTTTTCCTTTACTTGACAGCTGGTGTAGAAAAATGAACCTAGAGTTCCACAGAAAGACTCCTGGACATTAGTAGCATGGTTATGAAATGAAGCATCAGAGAAACTGTGCTGGATTTGTGTGGAATGGCACCTACTGCAGGCTTCAATGTGACAAGTGTAGTGAAAACTACCCTTTCTGTACATACATTGTCCTAAGAAGCAACAGAAAACAATAGAAAACCATTCTTAACTCATCGATCACTTACTAGATATTCTGGGGAGCTTTTATTCGTAAGTGGGGTGCCACTGAAGTGAAGCTTGAATTTCGAATATATATATTATCATGTTCCGAAGGGTCAAGAATTATTCTCCATGGTCAAAAAAAAAACAAGTCTGAGATTGATAATTCAATACAAACCCTTTATCGAGGTTTTTCACAGCTAGGTAGGGATTTTTCAGATGGTAAAAAAAAAAATCATGTAGGTTAAGCTGCCATAAAGTTGCAAAAGTATTTGGAAGCACTGCGTCGGTTTGCCTCGTCCAGCAGATCCACTGCACTGATATCATCTACGCTGGCTGAACCACAATAAACCTGTCAGTGCTAAATAAACGTCACTCACCTGTGTTTTCCATTATGTGTGGGAACAGGAATTCAGACACACACCTTCATCGGAAACTAGACATTCCTTATAGCCCACTGCTCTTACACAAACATACAGTATGTGATTCATAGTGTTCCCTAGGGTGTTTACTGTACGGATGTAGTCAACTGGATATAAGATAGTTTGGACGGATCGAGCCAAAACTGTGCTGTTCAAATGTCAAGGTGGCTGTGTTCCAAGGGTGACTTAATACATGGCACTGGATAGGGTTTTGTGTTTCCATTCACTATTCCTTTAATAGTCAGGTTAAACAGAACAGAAACTGATTCATATGACTGACAACGAATCATTCCTTTAATAACTGTGCACAAATGATCATCCCAGCATGATTTGTCTGTTTCAGGGTTGAAGGGCAGAGTTGGCCCAACAGGTAAGATTGGAGGCCGAGGTGATCGTGGTCCAGCAGGGAAACGAGGCCCTACGGGAGAGAACGGAGGTGTGGGGCAACTAGGTCCCCCAGGGCCTGACGGAGAAAAAGGGGACAAGGGCAAGAGAGGGCCACGTGGAACTGCAGGAATCTGCAAGTGCGGCAGCCTGCTGCCTAAATCTGCCTTCTCTGTGGGAATCACCAGCAGCTACCCTCCAGAAAAAATCCCCATCAAGTTCAACAAGGTGCTATTTAATGAGGGTGGACACTATAACCCACAGACGGGAAAGTATATCTGCGCATACCCAGGCGTTTATTATTTCTCCTATGACATTACACTGGCCAACAAACACCTGGCCATTGGTCTGGTGCAGAATGGTCAGTATCGCATCAAAACCTTCGATGCCAACACGGGGAACCATGACATAGCATCTGGCTCCACTGTGATGTACCTGAACCCAGAAGACGAGGTGTGGCTGGAGATCTTCTACCACGACCAGAATGGTTTATTTGCTGACCCAGGCTGGGCTGACAGCTTGTTCTCTGGCTTCCTTCTCTATGCAGACACTAACTATTTTGACACACTGGCAGAGGACTATGCATAGAACCTGGAAAACACAAAACAGAAACTAGTCACTGTTGTTTTAGTACACATATGGTATGGTCAAACTATATTTTTATACAAATGTTTGTACTGGTAGTTATATTGTTACTATAGAGAGTTATCCACTGATTTGAAATTATATTATTTAATAAAGCTTGAATATGTTTCTGATTTATTTGTTTTAAATAAACATTGTTGACAGGTTGAACTTGGTTTGAGGGCTCTCTTTTTAAAATGACTGGAGCATGTGTGAGACAAAAGTGTTAAAAAAACATAATATGAAAAGTCAAAACGGGCTTTTATTGGCATTAGTACAACAATAATGCTAGAGCGGAGAATAGCAAGGTGGTGTTGCACTTTTGTGACTTCACGGACTCCGTAGTGGGCGGACCCGTTTGATTGACAGTCAATCGGACGAATGGAAATCCGAGACTTGTGAAACATTTTAGCTGCATCGGCGCTTATTTTCAAGTTAGGTTGAGAGGTAGTTTATGTCGTTACTAGGCAGCGATAACGGTGCTCGTTTGCTGAGTATTGAGAGAAACACTTTTTGCTCGGAAGATTACAAAGTTGGGCCCAAGTGATACGAGCGCAGGAATACATACATTGTAGTAAGTCAGCCGGCTATAATACAAACTAGACCGCAACAACAGTGGTCATAGTCAGGTTGCTTTCTGCATTAACGAGCTACTGTAAAGAAAACTATCATCGCCACCTCTCCATGGCCTCCTCAAGGTAGTTGTTCCCTCCTTGGTTTGTGCCATTAACCACTATAATGTTGTTAAGCTAACTATACGTCTCTGAGGAGTCACTTTAAGCTATCTAAGCTAACGTTAGCTCAATGCCTCTATTTCTGTTTTAGTGACATTCGAGAAAAACTGCGAAAAAAGCGTCGTGCTTTGCAGGAAACACTGGTAAAAAACAAAAATGAAGACGACATTCAGGTAAAGTTAAACAAGTTTTGTCCTAAATGCCAGTTATTGTTACAGATAAACACGGTATCTCGTCGCTGTGCCTGTGGACTGGCGGTAGCCCTGTAGGGTTCATCCAGCACAGACTGAACATTGAACAACCTCCCTGACAAGACCCAACATGACTCGAAGGGTTGGCTCACACTCAGAAACACACAGGGACACAGATAAAAGAGCTGCTAACACTTTAGTAAATCTAACTATACTCGACAGGCTCTGGTTCCTTCTACCAAAATGAGTAAGGGGAAACTACAAACTGCAATGAAGGTTGGTGTGTGTTTTGTAGCTTAGCCTGTAGGCTGTAGATGCCCTCCTGTGTGTGCTGCTGGCTGCTCAACACCAATCTCCCCCCCCTCTCTCTTCTGCCAAACAACCCATTTCCAGCTGTGCTAAATAGCCCTGTGGACAGAAGTTCAGCTTGCATATGCGGTCTCCAGTCAGTTTGTTGTATTAATTGTATGCCTGTGTTACACCAGGAATCTCAAAGCAGTGAAGAAGACCCAGGAGAGACACTGAAACGCACATTAAAGGATCAGAGACAGAGGCGGAAGAAAAGGGTACATCTTCCTCTTGCTCCCTCAGTCTTCTTTCTTTATTTCATTAATAACCGTTTTGTAGTACCCACTTTTACATTGTTTCATTTTTTGGCATATATCAGCTGTTTGAACAGGAGACCCATGATGATGATGATGATGATGATGATGTGGAGGAGATCTCCACCGTTCAGCACCACAGTGAAGACGAGGGATCAGCTGAGAAGGCAGCAGACCCTGTAGTTTTGTCAAGACCTCAGACTAGTTCTCTGAGAGGTTAGTGTCTGTGTTGTCTCTAAACTTGCCTCTCTCCCTTTATGCTTTTTGGCTGTTTTAGGACTGGATATCTTTAAAAATGACCAGTACCAAAATAGTGCTCTATGATTCTTTTATTTTGCAGCAAGTATTTGGTTTTTTTTACTTAATAAAATGACCTACACTTCTCAATAATAGAGCCATACAACACTTTAATCTAATTTAATTAACTATGAAATAACAGAATTAGGATTTAAATCTGGAAATATTGTATCAAATAAAAAACTAAATAAAACTGAGCAGCTGACCACGCTGCAAACATTTGGAATGAGACGGTCATTTTTGGTAACAACATAATTTTGAGTAATACATGTAATTATTATGCTTTGTCTTCTAGGTCTGTCCTCGAGAATTCAGCATACCTCTGGCTCTCAGCATTTAGACGACTTTGTCACACGGCGCTTGGAAGAGAAACTGAGAGCAGCCAGAGTAAATACAACTTCTTTTTTGCATACACTAGCTTGTATTTTAATAAGATTATGAAAAATATCCTATTCCAAAACCACCTATTTTGCCAAATTTGCAAATTAGTATTGATGTATGGCCTCTTGTGTTCCAGTCTAAAGGTGAGAGCCTTCAGCAGCAGGAGGCCTCTCTCGAGTCAGCCAGTCGCCTACAGAGCCTCCGAGACAGAGACACTGTAACAAGGTTTGACCGAGAGGTGAGCATCTATCTCAACTGGTGTCACACAATGTCCTCCAGCCATGACTGTACCCATGTAATACAATCCAGCAGTGGAGGTTTAACTCCCAGTGTTTTACAGGTTGATCCAGACAGAGCCGGAAGACATGATGTCCCTCTGGCCCTCAGCACCAGGGTCAAGTTCAGAGAAGCAGCAAGACGAGTAAGACTGGAAACCACATTGCAATAATTTTAAGAACAAACTGTGTTGTATTTATTTGTTTATTTATTCTTATTATGCAAACACAGGCAGGAAAAGGCCTACCAACTGCAGAGGAGGCATACAATTTCTTCACATTCAACTTTGAACCAGAACCACAAGATGAGAGTGAGAAGATTAGCAGGAAAAGACAAAAAAAGAAAAAAGCAGCTGAGGAAGACAGAGATGAAGAAGGAGGAGAAGGTGTTGAAGAGCAGGAAGATGCTGAAGTACATGAAGATAATCAGGATGAAAATGAAGACCAGGTAAGACGCCAACAGTGACATTGTATGAAATAATCTGTGTATCATGATTGTTTCCACCTGTTCTGTAGCTGCTGTTGCATAAGACTGAGCAGATTCCCAGTTCCCCCTTTTTTTTGTCCTGTCTTAGAGTGAAGAAGCTCCTCTAGTGCGTGATGAAGAGGAGGATTTGTTTGTCATTGAACAATCGTCCCAGGACTTCCTCGAAGTGAAGAAAGCTGAGTATATTGGGTACAGAAAACGTGTTCAGCAAGAAAGTGAGCTCCTCTTCACGCCAAGTTTTCGAACAGGTATTCTGTAATTTACAAAACCACCTGATTCACATCCACAGCTTCCAAATACTGTGGTATCAGCTTTAATATTCTGTCCTTGACCGTAACTATCTTTAATTCATTGTCACAGTTCCAACCTCTATTAAACTGCCTGAAAACATGAAGCCTCGTTATCTGGAGGACGAGGGTCTGTATGTAGGGGAGAGGCCACCTATATCACTGACCAATGAGAACATTCTGGAGAACCGCATTTTGAAGATGGAGGAGGTAATCCCAACCAACATGCCAAACAGCATCACTGGCACTGACTTTATTCAGGAATTCTTTTGAATATACTTTGTTTTTTAATCATTTATTAAGGGAAAGAAGTGGTTTGGAGATGACGGCAGGATCATGGCTCTGCCTGACCCCATAAAGGAGTCATCCACTAGGCCCCCACTCTTCCACATGGAGGAGGACCTGGACGCTGCACTGCAGACTGTGTACAGGAAGGTCAGACACACGCCCGCTGTGACTCTCACTTCGATCACTCCGTTCATTTGCCACATCTGAAGCACAGAGCACATTCATACGCTAAACGTGTCGTGGCTCCCTCAGATTTGAGTGTTCTCTAACCCCTTTGCCATTTTGAAAAAAAGCTAAAGGGCACTTTGGCATTTGGTACAAAGGAACAGGGAGGAGGTGGGTGTCTGTTATCAGAGAATAGAGCAGAGATGGAGGCTGACACATCTGTGATATCATCTCTACAGACAATATACAGCTACATCAAAACTCCAGCTGGCCATTGTGGGGTTAGCTTTTGAAGAAGAGCTGGAATTGAACTTGAATTTTAGCTTTCATATGTTTTCCATTTCTCTTTATGGTTAGAAACAAAAAAGAGTTTCATCCTTACCCACTCTCACGTTTAACAGAATCAGAATCAGAATCAGAAATACTTTAATAATCCCAGGGGGAAATTACTTACATACTTAACTTACTTATATGATGCCATGCAGTAGGCATGTCAGAAAATGCAAACACATAATGCCCTTAACACTACTTTAAAGTAGTGGTCAGGGCTAAGTGTATGCCACTATTCACCATGGTCTACTGCGTCGCATCAGTCCAGTTGGTGTTGATAGTGCGCCTGTCAGGCTGATTTAGGGCTTACATTAATCAGCAGACATGAAGAAGCTGAAGTTTTTGACACGTTAGATTCTGTGTCCAAACACTACAAAGTTATGGCAGTACCTCCACAGACCATTAGAAATAATAATAATAATGTTTTCTTCTTGATGGGACCGATTTAAAATAATATTGCCTACAGTATCTGACACTGTTAAGATTAATATTAGATATAGTGTTGTAGTGTGGCTTTGAGAAATATGTTGCATCCGTAATAACATTATCAGGCAGAAATCATTAAAAATAATGTGTTGTGTCTGTTTTATGTACAGTAGACCTACGTGCTTGCTAGTGTTTGGTTTGTCCATTCTAGGCTACAGTAGAAACATGACGGTTCATATTTCCAGGTGATTATACACTAATGAAAACATACTTGTGAATATTAGCTCCCATTTCTAAATGTTACACACTGGACCTTTAAATAAAACCAACAAAACTGAGCTCAATCAAGACACGTTTTTGATTTTGTGGGAGTCTGCTCCCAAATACTACAAGTGTGAGTATTGGTGCGGACCCCTTAAGCGCAACATCTTTGGAAAAGCCAGAACCACGTTGTTGAGTGCCATCTTTGGATTGGATTATATGTGTTACGTAAATGTTGCATAACACAGTCATGTAAAATGTTGTAAAAATGTGAAGTAACTTACCCACTGATTCATAAATGATGGTTAGATATGTGTTACAGTTCAATGACAGATTACGTGAGCAATCAGATCCATCTGGTCCATCTGCGTCCTCACTGGAAGCAGTTTAATCTAGACTCTATCCACACTACGAAATTCATTCATCTCAGATTTTGCGATGGCGTAACTAACCATAGAGGCAAAATATGACAGATATGTAAACCCTGACAGAACTGACAACGCATGTTATACAGATCCAAAACTGTGTCAGATGTGGTTCACTGGTTGGCAGTGTCTGAGTGGGAAGCAAGTATGTATGCAATCAGTATCATCAAATCTTCACTTTTTTTTTATTATGGAGACAGGCGCAGCTGCCATATGTGGTCATCTAAACACAGCATTCACTGTAGTTCAGTTGGGTGTTTATGATACATTGTCATGCATGACTTTTCATTACAGCAGTCCCTGGTGGTGCTATCAGTCTTGCCAGCTATTTCATGCTTCCTTTAAGCTCGCACACATACTAAGATTGAGTATATTTTCATTATGATGATCATTTTCCAGAACATTGCATGATGGATGATGTTGTTCTATTCCCCAGGCGCTGAAGTCCAAGTATGCAAATCTGTATATCGCTGGTGCAGCGGACCCTGAGGGAGACTACCAGCTTGATGTCGATGTCTCTGGGCTGATCTTCTCCCATCACCCACTCTTTAGTCGCGAACATGTCCTGGGGGCCCGTCTAGCTCAGCTGTATGATCAGCACCTCACCAGGCAGCACAATAATCTTACAGGACACCTTACTGACAAGGTAAACTTCATCAGCCGACTGTCTGTGCGAAGTGACAACCTCTCTGTGAAACATTCCTGAATACATTTAGAAAGTTCTTGTATGTCTCAAATAAGCCACATATACATAAATCTGGCGTTTTTTGTGTTTTCTGTGCGTTGTAGTTGAATGGATTGAGGAGTGCACTGCGGAATATGCTTGACATCCATAGCGGGCAAAGCCTCACCCAAGCCATGCAACAGAGGATATCTGAGTACAGTTTGGAGGTTCGGTGAGTTCCCCAGATTTTGTTCCACCCAAGTCCTGTTTAGTCTAGAAACTGAAACCTATTAGCACCATGTCTTCAATATTTGTGTGTTTTTCCCCTGAATGTCGAAGGAACACTCGACAGCTGCGAGACAGTGAGCAGGAGAAAGACAGGACTCTGCTGAAGAACATAGTTAAAGTGTGGAAGGAGATCAAGGCCCTGAGAGACTTTCAGAAGTTTACCAACACACCCTATAAACTCTACCTGAGAAGGTAAATGTCTTTGTGTAGTTGTGGCCCATGTCTGTGCTAATACATTTGCTGGCTCCCTCGAACTTTATTAAAATACTATGTGCAGAGATGTGCTTTAAGAAGGAACTCATTTATAGGTGTCCCTTTATCCCAGCCTGCATGTAAATCTTTATTTATTTATTGGGATATTTTTCTTCTGTTCACATTCACTACTGTCCCTAACAGATGCTTGCTGGATAATGTAATTAATGTGTTCTGTTTTTCCTTTGTTTTTTTTCAATCTTGCTCCAGAGAGAATGTGGACCGGTCGTCAGATGAGCGAGAGTACGAGGATGAAATCTTGGCAGAGGTTGTGGAATTGGAGGCAGAGAGCGAGGAGGACTACCAGAGAAAGTTTGCAGAGTACAAGAAACAGCTGGAGGAGTGGAAGCTCTGGAGAAGGAAACAGGTACCTACTATATCTAGACTGATGAATAGGCGGATATTAGCTTACTGCAACTATATTGACACTGTGTCGTCCGATGACTAACAATAACATGCAGGGGAAATTAGGTGTAATTTACAAACAGTATCACTATACATATTTCAACCAGAGAGCAACTAGAAGTTGATTATTCAGTTGTGAAATGTTCTACAGTATGTATCTTGGTCTAAGGGATCCATATCAAGTTTGTTTGTTTATGTTACGTATTTGTTTTTAAATATTCCTATAAACCGATATATAGTTATCGATATGGTATGGTAGTCACTTGTAGTTAGTTTCTTACACCTGAACACACCGCCTATTACTATACAAGCAAAATCTGTTAAATTAAATTATTTCACCTACAATATTGTCTCTCGTGAGGAATAATAAATAAAGGAAGTTAAAATTGTGGTTTGAAACTAAATCAAGACAGCCTTGTACCTTGTATGAATATACACATACTGTACATGTGTTCACCATATTCAGAAAACCAAGAAGAAGAAGAGAAAAAAGAAGAAGAAAGGCCAGGCACAGGATGACACTGAAGAAGAAGATGAAGACCAGGAGGGGAGCGAATCAGAAGGACCCGTTGAAGAAGGCCCCCCAAAGCCAGAGCCTCCAGAGAAGCCAGATTTTGATTCTATAGAGCAGCAGGTCAGAGAGAAAGCCTCGAGGATACGCAGGAAACCAGGAGAGGCCATCTTGATTCCTGAGCTGTCTGCATCCGGAAACATCACCGCCAGTGAACTCTGCCCCAGGTAAGAGCAGAGACACAAACAGCAAGCAAAGGATTTGAACTTTAATTTAGTTTGTTAAATTCACTATGTTGAAATATAGTAAATAAATTCACTTATGTCACCCATGGACAGTTGTTCACTTGTTTTGATGATGACCTCAATCTGAAATGAAAGGACTTCGCTGCTACTGTGGACGTTTTTCAATAATGTTTGTTTACTCCTTGTTTCAGGGCTGAAATAGCTCGAAGAGAGGACGTTTCAAGGCGTTCTCTTTTCATCAAGATCCTATACAATGACAAAGAAGTTTCACGAACGGACAGCCGCTCCCTGAACACTGATTTCAGAGTGCACTTTGGCCAGATTTTCAATCTCAAGATAGTTAACTGTCCACAGAGCATCAATTTACAGGTACAGTACAGAAACATTTAGCGTGCTGCCACTGTCTATTCCATACATCTGCTTGAAGAACTGTCTTCTTTTCTCGTTTGTGTGTGTGTATGTATGGGTAGGTGTTTGAGGAGATTGGCTCATCATGCTCCCTCCTGGCTCAAGTGTTTGTTCCAGTGCCAGAGCCCTCAGTCGTGATGGGCAACATCCCTCTGGAGGAATTTGAGTTCAGCAGCAATCAGAGAGTGATGTTTGACCACGAGGGCGTAGGAAGTGGTAAATGCCTTCATGTGACTTGAAACACTGTCACCCGCAAATCTATTCCCACCCTAAATCTATATTTGACTGTGATTCATAGCTCTCACATTTGTTGGACAGACACTTGTCACTTGAGTTATCTCAGCCCCTGTCTTCCTGTCTCTGATCTTCTCTGTGTGCCTCATCAGACGTGCCTCTCTCCTTCGAGGCGGATGGAAGTAACAAACAGACCCTGTTGACCTCTGGGAAGCTGTCGTGCTGTGTTTCTTGGGGGATTGGGGAGGATGATGTACCACTCGCCCCTCCTGTGTCTCAACAACCTGTCGGCATACACAGGTAATGTCGCTTTAAGGATAGTACTGGTGGTTTTACATGTTTTAGCCTGTGAACTACATTTTCTATATGATTTACTCACAGCTGACCCTACTCCAAAGCATACCACCACTGTTTATATATTCATTAATATTTTCCTTCCCTCCAGTGTGTGGTTTAATTTTATGTCAGCATGAATGATATAACCTTTGCAACTTGCTTGGACTTGAATGTTGTTTAATGCAGGAAGTCAGTCATGTTAAACTTGCGTGAAAGGCAATGCAGCAGATGGAAGAAATGCTACACATTAATGTTGTCATGCTACAAATATTCTCATGTTTGCTTATTGTTTGTATTTTCTGATAACAACAGCTCATAAATGAATCTCAAGGCTCATTCATTCTTGATGGAAATTCCCCAACACTAAAACTATGCAATGGTAATCAGGCTTCAGTAGTATTAATCACTTTCCGTCTCTCTTTTTTAGTGGCTTGGGTCGTCTTGATGCTGTCACATACATTGGGGCATCTGGACTATATGACATGAAAAAAATTGGAGAGTGGGCGACACAGTCACGACTAGACCCCAACGATCCAAAAAATGCCTCCATCATGCAGCTGCTAAAAGTGGGTATCAGTATGCAAGAGGTCTCAACAATCCGAGTCCGACTAGCAGTTTCTGATTTTAAAACGACTTCTTTCTTTGCATCTGTGGTTCGCCAGGTGGCCAGTAGTGGAGAGGTAACGGCTCCAGAGTACTTCCGTCTAGAACAGCTGCAAGAGGAGTTCAACTTTGTGACTGATGAAGAGTTGGAGAGGTCCAAAAGATTTCGCCTGCTCAGGCTCAGGAACCAGGAAGTTGCAGAGTTTCGAAATTACAAAGGTGTTCCTGCTCTGGAGAGGGAGGTCACTGATAAGGTGTTCCAGGTCAGCCTTCCAAATATTTACTATATTGCAGAATATTATGGGTATAGCAGAATGAGGATGCATTAACTCTGTGTGAAGAGTTAATCCCCCCCCCTCCCCTTTGGTTAAAAATGATTTCAGGACTATGAGAAGAGGCTGAAAGAAGGAGAGATAATTGACACTAAAGAACATCTGGATTCACACCGAGCCTTAGTAGCCAAATACCTTCAGAAGGTGAGATGCCCATGTGACTTATACATGTTTGCAGTGCAGCAATCTTCAGCACATATTGGTGCTAAGTGTCATATCATCATCTCTCCCACAGATCCGAGAATCAGTCATCAACAGATTTATCCTCGCCAAGCATCACTACCTTCTGTCCGACTTGGTGGTAGAGGAGGAGATACCAAGCATCGGGTAAGTACTCCCCCAGGCATTACATACTCTGTCCCATCTTTCACAACTAACATTTTTTCACGTTTGTGTTATGCATGTTATAAATATTTCTTCACTTGCACTTCTTTCACTAAATAGTAACTTAAGGATGTATACAAAGTGCTACTTCGCATATTGTAATTTATCATTTCTGTACCCTGCTCCTGAGAATCGAGCCCTCTGCTCAAGTAGCAAAGGTAAGGTCAGATAACTTGGATTACTTTCAACAGTGGGATCAACAGCCAAATAAAAAAAAAAGAATCAGGAAGAGTGACAGGGTATATATTAACCACAGGCAGATCTAAGTATGTTTCTTGGCCTGGTGCTGCTTCGGTCTATTTGATCTTGAGCTCAACACTACATTCCCCTGGCTGAGTAATGCTCTCCTCTGGAACTGTTCAAGGCAGTGTTTCAGAGCAGGTTTCACAACACATGGACACGATAACAGAAATTAATTTCAAGTCTTTGATGGCATGTGTGCAGATTTAATGATCATAATACATGATGTACGTCCACGTCAGTCATGCTGTTGGGTGTTACTGAAAGTGAATGTTATAATATTTTCTGTTATTCTTCTGCTATGCATTTTTAACAGTGGTGCAGGTTCAGGGTATGTGCTTAGAGTTTCTTTTCTTTTCCTCCCACCCCTGTTGTGTCCATGTTCCTCCATTTAGTTTGAACCATGAGTACCAGTACAGTAGTGACAGTAGACCTTGTGGAGTATTCAGTCCTTTCAGGATTTTGCAGGGATTATTTCACCAAAACATTTTCATTGTGATGTTTTCTCAAATTTAGATGAATTATAGTTGTTGGGTTTTTTTGCTGCAAGATAGCACATATCGAGAGTAGTTACTAAATTCTCTGCCTAACATATTTTGTAAACCAGTTTTTTAATAGTGGTCATTTATAGTATTGTTAGAATGTATACGTATTCTAACAATATCATATATTTACAGCTACACAGAACTCATGGAAGATATTGATATAACTTTGCCTGCTGTAATAGTGAAAGACAGCTTTCTACAAAGTGTAACAAAACAGTAGAGTGGATCCATTCCTTGTGAAATAACACTGTTCATTATGTGCTTATCCTTCAGCAACAGCAGCACATACTTAAACACTTTGCAAGACACCATGAGACTATATAATAGGCAACACAATATAAACCTTTCACCTTAGTGATCCCATTATGCCTAAAAAGTAAAACATGAAAATATTGGGGTAAACATGACCTCAGAATTTGTTTTGTGATCATAAAATTGCAAATACCTGGAGGGACTGAGTACTGTTGATGGTTATTAATCCTATCCCACACTTCGAACGAAAAATATTTTTGATCTCTCAATAACGGATTAGCATTCAGTATGAGTTTAAATGAACCAGTCACAGTCTCCTGTAGGTTGTTGACTAAATGATAACAGCTGTTTGTTGTGACATTCAGGATTCTGGGAATAAACCTTTTCAAGCTGGCTGAACCCAAGCGGCCGCTGAAGCCTCAGAGGAAAGAGAGAAAGAAGGTGACGGCTCAGAATCTGTCTGACGGAGACATTAAGCTGCTGATCAACATAATCCGGGCCTTTGAGGTCCCCGTTCGCAGGCCGCAGACTAAGTGAGTGTTGAGTGCACCCAGTTGAATTCAGAACAGTTTAGAATTGAAAACAAATCCTTATTTGTCCTCAGAAGTAAGAATTAAGTATGCGTCTTACCTGGCAGATTGTTGAACATTGCGTCAAATGGGTTTTTATTTCAGTAAACCAGGACAGTCATCTCAGAGTGCCATCCAGGGCAGTGACTGGCTCCTCGGCCAGGTACAGTACACCTTTACCTTACAGCTGATCGACAGCAAGATCTTCATTGGCAATGATCTATATTATGTGTGTGTTTGTTATTGGTGTGTTGTAGGTACAAGTGAGGCCCTTTGTGGAGGTTTCCTTCCAACGCACAGTGCTTCAAACAACCACAGCTGACGGACCAAACCCCTGCTGGAACGAGGAGCTGCAACTACCATTTAGGTGACAACTGTGTTTCATGGCTTGACTTTTTGTTTTATGAGAAATGTTTATTTTGGATTTAAGTACACCCACACACTCACACATTCACTAACTTGTGCTGTGTTTCTACCTACCTGAGACATCAGAAATGTTGAATGAATATGAAATAGCTTCCAGTGCTTGGTAACCACATCACAGTTACACAACATTAGTGAAGTGTAAGCACACTGTAAAATACTGGAAATGGTTCCAGGAAAAATTATTCAGAAGCTCTCCAGGCTATTCAAAAATTGCTGTCTGTTTTTTACAGCCTCTGTCCAATTCCAAATCAGCTTTATCTACTCACATAGCTCCAAAACATATGACTCTTTCCAGATACAGCATCTAAGTACACTTTACACAGTTGATAGTAAAACTCTTCTTCTTCTCTGCAGTGCCCCAAATGGTGACTACAGTGCTGCTAGCTTGCAATCAGTCAAAGATGAAGTCTTCATCAACATATTTGACGAGGTGGTTTATGAAACTGGAGTGGTGAGTAAAACACTGTTCATTCTCTCTCACCTCGCTCACAGCAGTTATATTAGGGATCGACCGATACCCATTATTAGTAATCAAGAAAACAGATACTGATATTTGGAACCAATTTGCAGTAAACTTGAAAATCATAGTGTCAAACTATTGAATAACTAGGGATCGAGTGACACAAAGTACATTTACTCAAGTACAATTTTGAGGTATTTGTACTTGAGTAAAGGCACAAAGGCTTTTGTGCTATTTTTTACTTCCACTTTTTATTCCACTGCATTTATTTGATAACTAGTTATTTTGCAGATTCACATTATTAATACAAAATATAAATCCACTAATGAATTATGACGTACAGGTATATTCTGATACTAATACTTTTGAACTTTTGCTTAAGTAAGATTCTGAATATTTTTACACTGTGGTATTGCTACTTCTACTTAAGTAAAAGACCTGAGTACTTTTAAGCATATGTTTAATTAAATGCTGCAGAACCAAATGCTGTGTAACCAATCAGATAGTACTGTGGGTGGGACATGTTCATTGTTCTTTGCTTCATAATTGAACACCTTTTGCTCCTCAGACTGACAAAGACAAAGGGAAATCAGTACACACCCGAGTAGAGAAGCACTGGTTGGGCTCTGTCAAGATTCCTTTCAGCACCATTTATTCTCAGTCACGGGTGAGAGTCTTTGTTGCTGCGTGTTTATTAGCACACATTTATTATTTATCACACTGACTCTCTGAACTGGTGACTGATGTGTTTTTCTTTTAATTCCATTGGATAGATTGATGGAACATTCAAGGTGAATACACCAGCGGTGTTGCTGGGGTACAGCAAGGAGCTTAGCCACGGCACTAATGGTGGTTATGATACTTTGCGGAGTCTGAGTGAGGGAGTATTTATCACACTCTTCATCACCATTGATCCGCAGCTGGTGCCTGGAGAGTCTATTAGGGAAAAGGTAAATCATGTTTGGGTCCTGTCTGCTTCTAAGTGCCCATCTGCATCACTGTGTGCTAGTTTTTCTTAGTCCATCTTTGTGTTTCCAACCAGTTCATTTCATATTTTGTCAGATATGTTCATTCACTTGTTTTCATGAAGGTTTATTGTATTATATTGTACCAAAACAAGGGCCAGTTCACACAAGAGACTGAACAATATGGATCACGTCACAGAGGATAACAGAGTATATAAAGTGGTTTAATTACTTAGTGCTTGACTATTCAAAGAAATAGCCAATTTCTACCCTTGTTTTGAGACAATTAGTGTCCATGCTTTTAAAAGTAGATGGTTATGCATCAGTTTATTCATGTGTTCTTTTATTTGTCATCCTTTTGTGTCACTTATTTGTTTTTGCTCTGCTGCATGTACTAGATAAAGGAATTGAAGGTAACACTCTTCCTTTTTTATTCACCTAAATCACCTATTCATAACTGCATCACTTTTAAGGCTCATTCATCCATTTACATGGTGCCGGCCTCTGCTGTAACCTTTGTCTGTTTTTATGCAGTTTGACAGCCAGGAGGATGAGCATTTGCTGCAGGCTTCAGAGAGATTTGAAAGGGATGCCGCACAGGCTTACCCGGACCGACCCTGCATTACCACAATCATAGACCTCAACGGGAAGACGGTCTTCATCACACGTTACATTCGACCACTCAACCCCCCACAGGAGTTGCTGGATGCATTCCCCAATAACCCCCAGGAGACCACGGTCAGTTGCTTGTTTGAAGTGAATCTAGAAAGAGGCTGCTCAATTACTCCAATCTTCTTCACTAGTAATTGTTGCTTATTTGACTGGATGTCCTGTAGTGACACGCTGACTCCATCCTTACACAGGCCCTGGTTGCCCGATTCGTCTCGCTCATCCCTTCTCTGCCTGACAGAGTTTCCTTTTCTGGTGCCTGTGACCTGTGGAGCACCTGTGATGTGAGTGAACCTGAACCCTCTCTGAGATATTGTGATTGTAAGAGGGGGCCCATCATTACAGTACCTTGTGTTTTCTCTTCTTGCTTTTAGCAATTCCTCACCCTCCTGGCAGGAGATGAAGAAGAACATGCTGTACTGTTGTGTAACTACTTCCTATCTATGGGAAAGAAAGCCTGGCTTATAATTGGAACTGCTATACCAGAGGTGTGGAATAATAATTTGTAAACCTAGAGACTTGTTGAATATCTCTTTCTTTCCGCAGCAGCACTAAGATTTTTGATCTTTCTTTCTTAGGGACCAACAGCGTATGTCTTGACTTGTGAGCAGAACCATAACTACCTTATCTGGAATCCCAGCAGTGGTCAGTGCTATGGACAGCACGAGACCTTCTGCCCACTGCAAACAGTTGGTTCCCTGGTCAATGCTGACAATGTGAGTGAAGAGAGTACCAGTTCATGATGTGACATTTCATTTTTAATAATTTCCTTTAGATTGCAGCTAATAAAGTGATTTTCTCTGAATATTTTTTTTTTTTTTTTAGGTGTGGTTCAACATCCAAGAATATACGTCCCCAATGACGATGAGTTTTGACGTCACAAAAACCAATTTGTGGAAGCCGTTTTTCTCCCGAACCTTCTCTCACCCTGGGCTGTCAAGTGTGCAAGTGAGTGTTCAACATGTTTGTACAATATTGTATGTTCAGCTGTATTATTTTTTTAATATATTTTCCTCTAAATCTAATTGTCTTTAGCCGGACGAGCTGGTATATCGGCGCACAGATAAAGCAGCTGCAGCTGAGCTTCAGGACAGGCAAGTTAACACTGTGTCACATTGATTTGTTAGGCGGCAATTCCACACCGGCCCTCACACATTTACCGTCTCACTCTCCACAGAATTGAGAAGATCCTGAAGGAGAAGATCATGGAGTGGCGCCCTCGTCACCCAACCCGCTGGAACCGCTACTGCACCACCACCCTGAAACAATTCCTGCCCAAACTGGAGCTGAGCGGGGGGCGGGACATGGCTGAGGGGCACCGCCACGAATTGCAGAGCCTGCTGGGAGACAACAGGGTAAGTCTTTAATGGGAGTGACTGGAAAGTTACTTGACTGAGTCACTGAATGAAGTCATCAGTCATCAATCTGTCATTTCAATGATGTCAGCTGGCAGAAGGCACTTGGTGTCACGTTAATAAATTCCTATCATAAATTAGCACTAATAGGCTTTTTTCTTTCTTTTAGATTTCAGGATTCCCGCTGCACATGCCCTTCTCTGAGATCCGGCCCATCATAGAGGCAGTGTACAGCACCGGAGTTCACCATGTTCAGGCGTCAAATGTGGAGTTTGCACTGGCCGTGTATGTGCACCCCTACCCTAATAATGTCCTGTCTGTGTGGGTGTACCTGGCCTCACTTGTGCGCACATAATACAGTCTCACAGTGTATCATTGCTTTTTATAAATGAGCTTTAGCTTTATTTAAGCTTATTTATGTAATTACTCACACATTTTGTACCCTTCTGTATATAGTTTATATCAGGTTAACCTTGATAAACAGCTACCAGTTTGATATATGTACATTAAATCCAATACAGTGCAATAACCTTGCATGTTCTTGACCATCAGAAAACAGCTATTTTTGAGGCTATAGCTTGTGTTGTTTTTATAGTGGATATAGTCAAATGTTTACAATATTTTAGGAATATATGTTGACATATGAGAAAGCAGAACAGTAAAAAAAAAGTATAGAAACTTTGATTTCTACCTACAAAATAATGAGAAATGACCAACAACAGCTTCTAACCCCAAGATACTGTTTTATTTATGAATTGAACATTTCCAATAGAACTCCTCATGCAAGACAAGCAAATAAATCCTGCTGCAGAATGATTAAAGATGAAGTACAATCTAAGTACACGGTAAGGTTCTCCCAATCTGACGGTTATTATTCAGCTTCTCTAAAAGCTCTCCAGTGTTGGCCATATTAAATCCCTCTCATATGAACGTTGGTCCATTTCCTCACTCACAACATGGAGTGCATCAAGAAAAAAAAAGCAAACTTGTTTTGGTGACTATGAACATCCGGTTTGACAAAGTTGGACAAAATGTTTAAGACTACTCTGCAACATCATGTACCAACACCTACGTCTGTACATCCTTTACCGATGTCTCAGTAACCCTACGGTGGCTGTACCAGCACCAACATCAAGGTTAGATAACAGGTGGGGGGAGGGGGGTTGGTACAGTGGGACTATATGTAGAGCATTCGGACCAATAACCGTCAACAACATGACAGCCATATAAACAGTCAGCGTCAATCTAAGGGGTGGTAGCAATTAATTCACTCCTGTTTCATTTCACACATCACCCTCCAATAAATCGACCGCTTGCTTAAAAGAGTACATCACCTTGATGCTACTGTGCTGATTATAAATGGATCAACCTAACAGCAGGGGGAGAAGAATACTTATGCAAATCTGTATAGTTTGTGAGAAAAAAAACAGGGTTAAACTACAGAAAACAAAGTACTTGGTGTTTACGCTTCTCTAGGTTTTTTAATTTTTTGAAATCCAAAAAAGGAACCAGAATGTACATTTTCAAACACTTCAAATCCATTATCACCCCTTTGTTTTCCTTTTCTAAAGGATTATTTCCATTTAATATAGATGGAAATGGAAATAACGGGAGCAAAATTACAGTTTCATCCAGAAACATTTATAAGTGTCACAAAATACAGCAACCGGTATTCCCAGGATAAAGTGCAATAAAAAGGAGACGTGACATTGTAGGAGAGCGTTGCTTGGCAGGATCACTCTCCAGAGCGACAGCAGGCTCTGAAACCACACTGCAGGTTCTGGCAGCCGCTGGCTGTATCTGCGTGAGGACCTGGAGAGAAACACCACACAGTGGTCATCCTCTGAACTGCATGCCATATGACAACAGAAAAAGCTTACACATACACATTCTATACTTAAAACAAATAATCCTATTTTAAGTAAATAAAAGGAATGAATAGAATGAAGTGAATACTGAAGGCATACTGGCTCCAGTAATGCCTACTTACCTTCCACCTCAGTAGCATCTGTTACTTACACTAGGACACATGCTATGCAGGTGGGGTTAGTAATGTTTATCGCAGTTGCCACACATTGCAATAGATCTTTTACATTCACATACAGTTGAACATACAATAACACAGCTAGTTCACTTTACTAAATCATTTCAAATTCATGTTTCAGATGAAAAAGAACCCCAAGCAGTTTCACTGTTGAGTGTTACCGTTTATGTTGTCGCAGTAATAGAAGTGCTCATCATTGAGGGAAGGACAGGCTGACACCAGTTCCTGCAGCCCCACCTCAGTGATGAAGAGACAGCCAGACAAATTGAGATGTTCCAGGACAGGAAGCCCGCCGCGCTGCGACAGGGCTCTGAAACACACACACACACACACACATTAGTCATTACAGAGACAGCAACATGCACACCAGCACAGGATACATCTAGATGGACACTGATAATCTTCCTAACCAGATAAAGGCTACTGGCTATAGCAAATGTAATGAACAACACCATTCTCTTATAATCAGCATTTCTGAATGTTGAATAACCACTCCTAAAAATGTGTACGTGAGAAAGGTTGCATGGAGGAGTTGTTTATCAAGATAAGTAGCAGTGTTTGCACAAATGACAACACCCACATGTTATTACACCATCTTGTGTTTTCAGCTAGCACTCAAAATAACTACACTTGCCACTTACCACTAAATGGTGTTTTGAAACTGCATCAATGCAACCTGACAAAATGTTGTGGAATGTGTCAGCTGATCAAAAATGACTCATTTATCTCACTGCATCCCATCAGTTTCTGAACATACTCACCACTCAAATAAATCCGTGTAAACCCAGGATTGTATGTGAAATCATGCTCATGTATAAAAAGGAGTGTGTTTTTGTTTTTTTTTTTTGGGGGGGGTTGAAAAAAATAGTAATACATGATCTTTACCTCAAGCCCAAATCTGTGACTTGATAACATCCAGAGAGACTGAGAAATCTCAGTGAGCGTTTTGCCTCTGACCGGTCAGTCCTGTTTTCACGCCCCAGACACTGCAGGCCCCCAAATGAGGAACATTTAGTCCGAAACTCTGCAGTGCTGCTTCTGGTGGTACTTGACTCGCACTGGGGCCCAGTAAAAGTCCTGAGGGCCATGTCACTAGTGCAACAGGTGGAGTGACCACAAAATATTTCCCCAGACATGGCATACTGCTGATGCAAATAGGAGGCATTTGAGCCAGTCCTGTGCCCGCGCCTCCTGCTCCTCCTGCAGCAGCACGAGCCTCCCACAAGCTGTGTCTCTACAAAGCTCTCTGCTTCAGGATGAGGCATCCCATCACGGCGGCTCCACGCTGCTGCGTCTTCAATATCAGCAAGGTCTGAGGTGTCCAAGACCCATACTTGCGTGGGGGAGCAGGCAGTGCCCCAACGGTCACTCCCCTGCTTGAAAATGATGGCCTGCTGCTTCCGCCCCAACGGGTGCAGGTTTCTCTCTTCCATGAGCGTGATGGGTATTGGAGAACTTTTAAGGAGCTTGGCTCGTCGGTCCGAGCGTTTGTCGAAGCAGGTGGAAGACGTGAGGTCACCCAGCCCAACGGACAGTTTCTTCAGGGTGTGATCAGTAATCTTGTCACAACCAGACAAATCCAGGTGCTCCAGAGACAGACAGGCTCCGAGAGATGACCAGCTGAAAGAGGGAGGATAGCAAGAACATAGTAATGATGAGGACTGTGTACATTAAAAAGAATTGACCAGGGTTGGCCCAGGGAAAATTTGACCTGGTACAAATTTGTCAATGATGCTACAAGCACTGTGCATAATCAGAAATGACTTAATGGTATTTTAGTAATGACTTTTAATATTTACCTGTCGAATGCAAAATCTGTAACATCAGTCTGGGTCAGGTCCAGGTGAGTGATATTGGGACAGAGACTGAGGATCTGGCGCACCTGAAAAGAGGACAAAGGTATGACAGTTCAGACTTGACAAGGTCTTCATAATTGGGCACTGGGCAAGATTTTGTGCTACATACCATTTTACTAGAGACTGTAGAACTGTACGCCAGAACAATGGACTTGACAGACGGACCCACAGCTGGCAGGAGGTTCTGGATAATCCCATTCAGAAGCCTCTTCTCTCGCTGAGCAGTGCTAATTGCCAGGGAGCCCTGTGTATGGCCTGACACATCTAAAAAGACAATGAACAAGAACAAGGATGACGTAATTAACTCAACTCAGATACAGAACTGATTTTAACCTTCACTTTCAAAGAACGACTACGTGACAGTGTTTGGCTACACTGCAGGCCTGTTTACTCCCTGTATGCCAGAGTGCAGCCAGAGATCTGCAGGGAGCACCTTTCTGACTGCAGGGCAAACGCTCTGTGACTAAAGGTGATAAAGGTTTCACCACATGAGCATGTGAGCAAATGTGTGGTGCCCTGACTGAGGCCCTGGGGCAAACACATTTAAATGTTATAAATAATAAATAAAAAGTGTAAGTGAGTATAGTGTTTTATTACGCTATATCAACAAGATCAGGAACTATTGTGCATTACTTTTATCTTGACTATCAAAACCAAATATCAGAAATGTCAAAACAAATGCTTTTAATACCAATGTTAAAGAAAATCCATTTTTGTAGATTTGTTTTTTTATCTGCAATATATTTTATAACATAAACCTCCTTCCAGTTGCCGTTGCAGGTTGAAGGGGATTGAAACTAGCAGTAGCACTTTCCTAGTTATATATATGTTTGTGTTAGCTTCTTTCTGAAATTATCATACATACAGTCAGTGCTGCTGTTTTGGTCACTAACTGAGGCATGCACTTCGCTGAAGACAAAACCTCACCAGACTCATCAACATCAGCATCCTCATCCCATTCCTGATAGGCCCGACCCTCATTCTGCCGACTCTTTACCCACTCCTCATCTGGGTCCTGGTCCAGATCCCCAGGGGGGCCACTGTAATAATCACCTACATTTAGAGACACAGACATTAATCAGCAGTGCACCACCACAACATATTTAAATTAATGCAATTGTGTTCTTTTGCAAGGAAAATTAAGCAAAGTAAACAGTATTTTGTTCCTTAGAGTAATCACTAGCTATCAGCAGCCTACCTCTGGCCCAGTGCACAGGGTAGAGGTGCCTCCACAGAGAGCCAGTTTTGGCCAGCTCTGACCAAGAGCTGCACACTTGGCTACAGCGACACAGATCTTCAGGGCCCAAATAGTGGAACAGCCTCAGCATGATTTCTGTAGGAAGCTGGGAGATGTGGGTTGAAGAATTCCCATTCTTTTCCAGTTCTGAGGACGAGGACACAACAGCTTCCAATGTCAATATTATGAAGTGCACCATCTCCAAATGCCATGACAAATAATTACACACAGCACTGCTTTGACACAGGTCTTTCTCACAGAGGACATTTTGACATTTCACAGTAGGAAAACGGTGGCTGAATTCCATATAGCTTCTTCGGTTTCAAGGCCCTGCTATTGCACATGCTGACTCACTGTGATAACATACTGGGACACTGCGGACATTGAGGAGCCATTTTTAATGTTATTAGTAAAACCGGTGCTTTGTCTGCTGTGATAAAAGCCGATTGCACTGCAAGTCCTAGATATAGGAGGATATAGGATATAGGATATTTACATTTATTTAAATTTTTTTTTGATCAACCAATTCTGTTAAAGTAGTTGTTTGTTTTGTTTATACAATTACAACATTACAATATTTCAAAGGCTCGTCACAAATAACCAGAGCCCAAAGTGTCCTTATCCTTATCTTGACCCAAAAATTCAAAGGTATTAAGTTAAGATAGTCACAATACTGTTTGCATTTGTAGGACAAACTTTTCTATGTACCTACATTTGAAAGGTTTACAGACTTGTGGCTAACGTCCTCAACAGCCTACTGTACACAGACGTGCTGGGAGAACTAGTCACTCATGTACCTGATGTGACCAGTATGTGACCACAGCAGTGGTAGTGAATACTGATGATAGTGCTCCCCTCAAGGCTCGGATAGGAAAGAACCTTGCTTCAGGTATGTAAAACCAAGCATGTCATCAAATTACTTGTGATTCCTGGCTTGTTCGCATGAAAAATGTTTTAACATTTAGGAGTATACTCACTAACCATAATCTGTCTTCTCATGATCGGAATATTTAAAGGCTTTTTGCAGCTCCTCTGCCTGGCTCCACAGACTGAAGCCCTTCAGCACCTCAGCGGCACAGTCCCATTGCTGTTGGCTGCAGTGTTGTGCTATCACCTGTTTCTTGATGTCCTTGAGCTCCTCGTAGGTGAAGTACTGCATTAGCATAGGCTGAAAAACCTGCAACGAATCTCCTCAGTTTATAAACAGCTCGCCACAGTGCAGTCCACTGGGGTATGAACAAACATGTTTTTAAATACATTTCCTTGGGTTTCTTTTTTTTTTTTTGTTGTTACCAACACAATTTAGTCTTACCCATTCTCTGAGGAATCTATTGACACATATTTATATGAACAATATAAATAATAAACATCTTATACCTCTTCTTCTTCCTTCATGTGGGGCAGAAAGTCCTGTGTGAAAGCTTCTAGTCTCTCCTTCAGCTGCTGGGCATAGTTAAGCTGCTCATATTCACTCTAAAAAACACAACCATTATTCATTTGTGGAATCCCTTAAAAAGTATGACAACTGAGACTTCTATACAATCCCATCCACAACATCTAGCAGTTCAGTCTTTTCAGTGACGAATTACCAAATGTGTAGCCGGCAGCTTGATTATCAGTGATGGCAATTATGAGTTATAACCATCTTACACCCAATATTCTCCAAAGTCTAAGTCTAAAAACTGGGGGAAATTCAGAATAAGGGGCTCCAACTATTTAAAATCTCAGCACAGACTTATTTATATCAAGATAAACATCTTCCAGGATATCAATTCAAAGCAACAGAATGTTCTTTTCTGTTTTACAAACTGACTGAAGCAGAGCGGAAGTTAAGATTTATACAATTGCATAATTCTGGAAAGCCCGTTTTTTTGGTTTGCCCATGGCTCCAGAGAGAACAATGACTCTTCTCTCTTGTTAAGCAGATCACAAAGGAAAACAACGCTGCCCTTTTCATAGAATTCAGCCCAACTCTTTGTGCATCTGGTTCTTTTTCTTAAAAAATAACATACAGCAACTCCATACAACAGCAACAAATGTTTGGTTTTAACCTTTTTTATGAAAATGGATGCAACAATTTGTCAGAGGGCTTTATTATAAATTACTCTATATTTAAAAGACCTACAGAATATTTTCCCAACTTTTAAAAAAAATCAAATAAATACTAATAATTTAATTTTTTTAATAATAAAAAATAACAATTCTGTTGTTGTTGGTACTGAAGTGTTTGAGTGACTAAAATAATAGTTACCAGGATGACAGAGTGTCACCATTGAGCATCAGCTGAGCTCTGCAGAACTCCTGTATGTAAAGTAAAGCCTGGGTTTTTCTGCTAAGCCAAAATGCTAAAAGAAATGTGCAACATGTGCAATGTTGTAGGGCCAAAGCATGATAATAAACGTTTCTTTAAAACATGAATTCATATTTACCTTAACGTTGTGCAAGCCTTTTTCGAAGAGGGACAACATCTCTGAGAGTTTGTTGTCAGAGTGCACATTGTACACAGTGCAGCAGCGCTGTTGCAACAGGCCGATAATGTACTCATTCTCAATTTGTTCATGCATCTTAAACTCCTTAAAGGTGGCGCACAGTGACTGCAGAAAGGAGCGGAAATCATTGTTGTTGGAGAAGTTGGTTTTTGACAGCTGTGAAAAACAAACAGAAACACTAGTTTATTATACAACGTAACGCCATTTGTGTTTATACCGAGAGCCATCATATAAATATAATCATTAGCGCTTCTGTTGGTACTATTAGACCACAATCATTGGTAGTTCCTATTGGTTACACAACAACGCCATGGCTGCGGAGAATGTAAACTCAGACTGATAACGTTACAGCACTCACTGTATATGTAACTTAGCTTACGTTAGCACACCCGCCGTGCATTAGCTAGTGTCGCTAACTTAGCTCCTGTGACACACACTGACAGCCTGTACATTTCCAACATTACACAGTGAGTGATAACATTAGAAACTGCGTTGTGATACTTAAAGCATGTTACATAACAGGCTATCTTGGAAGTTGTTAAGCTAGCAAGCTAGCTAAACCAGTTAGCACGCCGTAGTTGTGTAGAGAGGATGCGTTACTGGGAGTTGATTGAGGGCAGCCCACTACGTGCTTCAGAGGGATGGCTAACAAACACCTCTATGCAACGCTAACTTCGCGTTCATAAGTCGACCCACGAAGCTACCGAGCGGTCCCACTGTAGTCATGAGACAATCATCCGACAGTTCATCTGCTTCGACTCACTCAGTCCTCAGCGCTATCATATACACAAGCTAGCTGGCGTGCTAGTCAGCGTACACGCGTCCGTTGGCCATATTTCTTCAGACGTTACTTGGTTAAACTCCAAATTAACGACCGACATTTATTTATACGTACCTTTTCGCAATACAGGCCCACCAGCTGTTTCATACGCCAGTGTGGGCCAGTAAAAACATCCACCTCGTCCGGAAAGGGAGCCATCTTCACACACTGAGCCTCAGTGCGTCATCTGCACAGACAGGGAGGCGTGTGCGAGCGAGTCATGTGACCACAAGTTCTAAAAGTGAGCACGTTATCCAAGAGACAACAGTAGGCTCGGATCTGATCCAGGATCGGTCTCTGAATAAAACATTGTATACATTTCACTGTAACTCCAGCGGATATACGCACCCATATCAGCAAACATGTTGAGAAAAGCTTTAGAAAACAATACAATAAACAATTAAGGTTCAAAACACACCAGTTTTCATACTGTCATATTTTCTGTAGTTACATAATACATCTATCTTTTTTTCCTCTTTAATTGTGAGTATCCAGCGTTGTACGATCACAATCACACTGCACTGAACGAACTTTATTTTAAAATGTTTAACTCGTATTGTATTGGTTTGTGATTTACCATATATACAGTATATTGATATTGTAATGCTTTTCAGTGTAGTTTATACATTGTATATATTAAATAACTATTTATTTGTTAGATATTCATATTTCATATTTGTTTTCTTATTTAAAACTTAAAATAGTTTGATGTTTTGTTAATTTAATTTCAAGAGAAGTTTAACACAAGTGAATTAAACCATTAAACAAGTAAACATTATTTTCGGTCTGATATTCAGTCAAGTAAAGTTAAGCTCTTTGTTTGGCAAAAAAAAAGAATACCAAAATATAAATACTGCTCTACGTAAATTAAACTAAATAACGAGTAAAGTGTATTTGGTTGACCGAGAACACGGTGCAAATACTTCTACCGGTTGGGTTGTGGTTGCTATGGAAAATGTCCACAGCAACAGTCCCTTTGTGGGTTGAGACTAAGGCCGTCATTCACCGTCATTCGGATGATGGACAGCTGCATGAACCAATACGCGGTCGACAAATATGAAGTGGCCAATTAAAATGCAGCAAAAAAAGAGAGCTGTAGTTAGATAGAGAGCGCGAGGGCGGTAGCAAGTACCAGAGCCTCTGTGAGACAGCAGCGAAAAACACTAATGGTAAGCCTAGTATTTGCCACCTAATAGCATTTATATACCCCTGCGTAATGACCTACGTTAATTATAGTACTCGGTGTTGCGTGAACTCACAAGGCATATCTTTGTGTTGGGTGCTCTTGGGCTACCGTATTCATCTAGCTACTATGTAACGGTAACGTTAGCTATCTTGCTACCAGCTGTAATGTGTCTTGCTTCAGCATCACATCCCGTCTGAGACAAGAGATCCTTTACTCTCTGTCAACACTCACTCGATGGAGCTTACCAGACTGTATAGTTACAGCACGACACACAGTCATGGTCACTGAAGTTCACAATAGTGGGTGAAAAATATTGCCTAGACTGTCATTAAACCCTTTGTGATCAAACACTCTGCAATATGTTCCCTGATCTCTTTGCAGACCCAGCATGAGGAGCCAGTCATTCCACTAACATGGACAAGTACGAAAAGGTGAAGAAAATTGGGGAAGGTTCATTTGGAAAGGCCGTCCTTGTCAAATCCAAAGAGGATGGACACCAATATGTCATCAAGGAGATTGGCATATCTGGAGTAAGCTGCCATGTATTCTATTACACAAGCTTTACATTTCACTGTTAATGTGAGCTCCCTTTTATTACCTTGCTCTATCACACTCTGTTATTTTGACAGATGTCGAGTAAAGAGAGGCAGGAATCTCGAAAAGAGGTTGCCGTTCTTGCCAACATGAGTCATCCCAACATTGTCCAGTATAAGGAGTCTTTTGAAGGTATTTACTTAATCCAAAGTTAGTCTTAGCCATTGTCTGAAAGAACTACAGATTTAATCTTTCGCAATTCGACCCTGATGGACACAATATCCGGTGTATATTATGGCTTTTCTGAATGCCATCTCAAATTCTTTTCAGAGGGGGGCTGCTTGTATATTGTGATGGACTACTGTGAGGGAGGAGACCTCTTCAAGAAGATCAACTCACAGAAAGGAGTACTGTTCTCAGAAGAGCAAGTAAGCCACTAACTCTGAGACAATCACTCATGTTTACATACCTTTTGACAGAGTGAAACGGTGTACAACATGTGGACTAAATGTATCATATTAAACTGGTGCTATTCCATATCTCTGTCCTCTTCTTTGAAATGTATTTTCCCTGGGTTGTATAGTTACAAACGATGTTGATAGGAAATTGATTAATGTGCGTTTACCGTCTTCTCCCTGTCCTAGATCTTGGATTGGTTCGTGCAGATTTGCCTGGCCCTGAAACATGTACATGATCGAAAAATCCTCCACAGGGACATTAAATCACAGGTATCGTTTCATGCACCACAACAGCATCCCTCAGTGATACTAACTTGTATTATTTTTTACCATGTATTGGCTTATTTACACATTTTTTCACAATATCCCTGTAGAACATTTTTTTGACAAAAGATGGGACTGTACAGCTTGGGGACTTTGGAATTGCAAGGGTGCTGAACAGGTGTGTCAAATATAATCTGAATAGATCTACCGATCTCTATACAGCTCAGATTTGGGAATAATGAAACATAATACAATTTGCTTTCCATTCTTATTTGCAGCACTGTAGAATTGGCAAGAACATGTATAGGAACGCCATATTACCTATCACCAGAGATTTGCGAAAACAAACCGTACAACAACAAAAGGTACCCACTTTATGTTCTGGAATACCATGATTGTGTTTGTCTCACTTGTGGTGTAAATCAATATTTAATTGTAATCCGGGGACATGATCTGTCCCACTAAACTGAGTCATGGAGGATTAGGTGGTGGCTTCTGGGTGATGTAAAGGTATCATGTCTCCTCTTTATTGAGTGAATCTGCTGGTCTAGAGCTACAGCAAGAAGCTAGTATTGATTTCCTCTTTAACTATTTTAAGTATGCATGTAATCTAATCCACATTGGTCACAACCAATGAAGTAAATTTAGCAGTCTTAATGTTCCATATGGAGTTTTCTCAGCAATGAAGCGCTTTTTTCTCTCCAGTTAATGTTAAAGAAAGGAAAATCATTGCAGTGAATGTAAAGCTACCCTACAACTTATCCCTGCCTGTCCATTTGTATGCTCTCTCCTCTCACTTTCCCTACTTTCCCTCCCTCTGCAGTGATATTTGGGCCCTAGGGTGTGTCCTATATGAAATGTGCACTCTTAAGCATGCAGTAAGTATTCTGTGTTGTGAGCTGTTTACTAATTAATGTAGAATTGAATGTATGTTTTACGCAGCATTGCAATGCTCTCACACATATTGATTTCCTGTATGTATAATGGTTTCATAAACTACATTTTAAAGACGTAGTTGTTTTTCCTGAGTCTCTGTAACTCTTTGTAACCGCTCCCTAAATATCCCCTGCTTTACTCTATCATTGCTTATGATCAGTAGTTTCTTTGCAGTGGTAACAAATGTGCTCTTCATGTATTTCTCCTCAGTTTGAGGCTGGCAACATGAAAAACCTAGTTCTGAAGATCATCCGTGGCTCGTACCCTCCCGTGTCTGTTCACTACTCCCAAGAACTACGCTCTCTCTTGGCGCAGCTTTTTAAACGCAACCCTCGAGAGAGGCCCTCAGTCAGCAGCATACTAGACAAACCTTTCCTGACCTGTAGGATAGAGAGGTTCCTCACACCACAGGTAGAGCATGCAGTTAGTTGTCTTTGATACAAACCGGATTCACATGAACCAGAACTGTGTTCCGTTAAATATTTGTTCTCTACTGATTCCAGATCATTGCTCAGGAATTCCACCATACTTTTCTTCACAAGCAGCCTAAAGTTGGTGTGGTGCAGGGGCCACCAGGTAAGTAAAGGACCACAGCTGCTCCCCTGCTGTGGGGCAGAAATGCATGTCATCGGGGCTTGGCACGGCTAAAGTGGACTGAACCAGGCCCATGGAACAACCCTTAAACTCTTAGCTTCCACCACAGTTTCCTTTCGAGATATTACCACTAGGAGTCACCAAATCCAGTTTTTTGTTAAACACAGGGGCTCCTGTTCAGCTGAAAAACATGGAAATAGTCAGTTCAAATGAGTAAAAATTCATTATTTGATACACACGCTGTATTAAAGTCCCAGTTAAACAGCAGTTAGAGCACCTTTAGCTTTAGTAACATATTTCTGTGTGAAATGGAATATGTAGGTGGGGTATTATGAGACAAGGGATTTGTGGTAATCATTCAGATTTGATTAGATGACTTAAAAGCACAGCTGCTGGGAAGCTCTGGAGAGATTCAGAGCTGTTAGGACTGTTGGCCTAAATCCACACCTCCCTCACTCGTATTGTTAGATCAAGAGGTGGAGGATGAGGGAGAAATTCAGGAACTAGACCTAACCACACTCCTTTGGGAAATTTACACAAACTAATATCCAAACAACAGGGATTTTGATATAGAAATACATTATTTTTAAAACATATATTTGGAGAGATACATGAACAATTTACACAGGGATACGGGAATAGTATTTTTAGTAGGCAAGTGTGCCTCTCTCTGAAATGGCTGATTTATATTTACTGTAGTCTAGAGTTACTAAGGCCTAAAATTCAGAGGGAGAAATAAACTGCCTCTTTTGCTTCAATTGATGCTCCAAATGTCATTTTTGTTGGTGCAATGCAGGCCAGAGGTTAGAAACACCAGGTGCATTACAACTATAACTACTATGTGAATAATATTACTGTATTGCATTTTCCGTTACTTATTGTACTGTGGAGACCAGTGAGTAGACCTGCTAGGAAATATACAGAATGTTTGTTTATTTGCATTTCACACTGTCTTTGAGGTTGAATACTGACTTGGATAAATGTTCATATCTTTTTTACTTGTGTGTGACCAGCTAAGCGTTCTGCCCCTGGCTCCATACCACTTGTTCCAGCTCAGAAGATTACCAAACCAGCCAGCAAATATGGAGTGCCTTTAACTGTGAGGAAGGTGTCAGATGCAGCCAAAAAGCCTGCAGAGAGGAAACCAGCAGTAAAGCATAAGCCGGTTAGTAGGTGTTGATGTGGATGACCAGTCGCTGTGATTTTCGAGCTTCACTCATTACTTTTTCTGGGGGGTTTTTCGCTCTGGATGTAAAAACAAGCTCTATTTCATGTTGAGGTCTTATTCTGGCATGTCAGAGGCCTCTCCCTATTGTGTGTGAGTGTGTTTTTTTTTTTTTTTGCATCATATTGTGTTGGCTACCTCTGAACCCCAGTGTCATATGTTGCTCAGGCCCCTCTCCCAGCAGCCCCCCAGAGAAGAGTGAGTCAAGTGGAGCAAGAGAGGAAAAAACACGAGGTACAGCTGAGAGCCTCACATACGTTGAATTTACTATTAGATTTCCCTCCTTTTCCTCTCCCCATTTACTCACACATGAAGGTTCTTTCCTTCCACCATTTTTAGTTTTCCTCCCTCTCATTACGCTTGATCCCCATATTCACCTGTTTTCCACTCCCAGCCCTTTCGGAGTGTTGTGCTTGACTGTATTAACCAACTTTTCTGTCCTCACCTCCCTGCCCAGTGACAGAGCTGCCTCTTGCCTCAAAGCAAGTGTTTTTAAGATGTCTCTTTTTTGATTGAGATGCTTTTGCCTTATGCTGCAGGATGGCATCAGAAAGAAAAGAATGGAGCTGATTGAGAAAGAAAGGAAACAAAGAGAGCAGGTGGGTGCATTGTTAAGTCCCTCTGTAAAGGGTCTGAGAGTTTTCAGTGGTTTCAGTAGCTTCTTGATCTGTGTTGCCTTCAGATATTCCTGTTGAAAGCGGACCAAATGAAGAGATATGAAAAGGAAAAGGTGGGTGTTGAATTTGTTCCTCGTGGGTTTAGTTATTTCTTTTCTTTTATGTTTATCAGATCATTACTGTAGTAAGCGGGAAAGGGTTGTACTGACTCCATCTAAAACTGAAAAAGTGATGAAACTTTGATCCACAACAGATCAATCGCATAAACCAAGCCAGAGAACAAGGCTGGAAACATGTCTTGAGTTCTAGTGGAGGTAGCAGCCCAGAGAGGAAGGTACTAGATGCACATTTCCTTTTTTATGATACAGTATTAATCATGCCATCTTATAAGTATTTCTAGATTTTATGATTGTATTATGTCACATAGATCATCCCACTGACTACCAACCACTTCTTATCCTCTTAACTCAGTGTTATGTAGGTGGTAGAAAGAGGGTTGTCCCGACCTCTGTTCAGGGACCTACTCCAGCCCCTGTCCCAAGTAAAAGCTCATATGAACACTACCATGCTGCTCTGGACCAAATGGCTAAACCACAGCCCAAACTCATCAGCAGGGAGGGATCCTCAGCAGGACCAGGCAGTCCCATTCGGTAAGTCCAGCCCATCTGCCAACCACGAGGTTACCGCTTGATCCAGATGTCTCTGTATTTTAAAGTCCCCATCTACTCAAAAATCAGTTTATCTTCTTGTTCCTACAGTGTGCTGTTTGAATGCTGTCTGTGCAGAGTTTGACACTAGAAGGATGTTTTCACATTCATCTGCTGAAAGTGGAAAGTTTCTCTGTGCTCATTAAAAATCTGATTTTTAAGGGGTGGGGCCTACCAGCATGATTTGTGACATCACAAATAGTAAGGAAGTGAGTCCTGGTCCAGTATGCAACTTATACAGTGTGATGTAGAAACCTGAAGCCACCAGTGCTAATCCACTGAGAACAGTGGAGGAGGAGACATCTTGTGTCCAGCAGGAAAACTTTAGAAATGAACAACATTTGCATATTCAGAGATTCTGTAATTTTTAATGAGGTAGAAGGAGTAGATTACTTTTTTTAAGGACTTCAATGTAGAAATTATACTTTGCAGGAAAAATATATCAGACACACATTATTGTTCCAAGCAGATTATTTCTATAAATGTCTTAAAACATGTCTGGAAAGGATGTTTCTGTTAACTTATTGTTTTAATGGTGTTACCTCTGTGTGTAAGAAATGTACCGGCTGCTGCCGGCCCAGTGCTGCCCAACGGCCCTGCCCGACTCCTAAACCATGATGCAATCAGGAGAGAACTACAGAGGCTGCAGCACGTTTCTAAACAAGCTCATTTTAGTAGGTCAGTCATGCAGCTTTTCCCTAATCAACAAATGGCACTACACATCTGGATTGAAATTCCACATCCCTTTTCTTTTCACAGTGTGAAACATAGCTAAAGTGTTAATTACCCTATTCTGTTTTCAGGCAGTGTGGTCAGATGGGTCCTGGACGTGCCTATCAGGTCGAGGAGTTTTTACAGCGGAAGAGAGAAGCTATGATCAATAAAGTTCGTGCTGAAGGACAGCTGGTACGTATGGTGACTTATACTGTAATTTCAAGGGTAACCTATTGAGTATTTAGTCCTGTTTCTGAAATACAGTTTTTCCTTCATAGTGATTATGACCTCTCACATACTGGGTAGCAATTCTTATGTAAGCACCGAATCAAATGGCTCCATGTGTTATGAAAGGGTTGCTAGTACTAAGTACTATTTAAGTTATAGTATAGCAAGGCTCTGTTGCTGTCCGTCTGTTTGAGTTTTTCTGATCCCTAGTGGTAAGAAAATATTAAATGCAACTTTAAAACAATGTAGTTACGGGGACAGTCACAAATCACGAGTGACCATTGCCTACCGAGACGAAATGTGGGCAGTACAGGATGTGCCACACACAGCAAATCAGCTTGCTAGTTTGTAGTCCAGTTTAGTGGGGCAAAATCTGTGAATCTGCTTTGCCACTGGAAGTGAAGGTTAAATTCACCCAGGAACAGGAGGCAAATATTTGCGAATGTTGATTTTACATACTGTATGTGTGACCATGCCCTGACACATACTATGTAGATCTGCAGAGTTGAGTTGTCTGTGGGTTTATTATTATGAATGGCCCCTTTTTAATTTACATGTAGTCATTTAATTCAATGTTAAAACAAAAATATTGATCAATGCAACTTTATCCAATTGCCCCAGCTCATGACTGTTGGCAGTTAGATGTTAGGGGCTGCGTCCTTTTAAAATGTGGTTAAATTGAACGGTAAACAGGGTACTCGGCAGAACCTGGCTGCAATCTATGGAAGCCGGGCTGGTTCGATTCGGTGCAGGAGGCCCAAAGCCAACAAAGAGGAGGAGGTAGGAGCCCAGGCCTGAATGCCCAGCCTCACCCTCTCAACCTCACTCATAGCACGTCTGGCTTGGCTCGTCTTCCTTCATTTGTCTGCACAAAACTCCCTTTGACACACCCATAATTCAACCCTGCAACTCAAACCCATGCCCACTCTTTGCACATCATGTGGTGTTCCACTGTCCAGTGTGAGCTGTTCTATTTATTTTGCCTCCCAATAATGGCCGCTGTTATTCACAACAGTAAATACCATTGTTTTGGTGTTATTGCGCATAATGTCCCATGTCCAATAACTACACCACCTCAGTTTTGAGTTGTGTATTGCAGCCTTTTTGCTTTGAATGGAATACATAAATCTATACATCTATATTGCACTGTTTACTGCAAAATGTGTTATTTTTAGTCTGGCTGTATGGCTGATGTATTAATGTACCTTGTGTTTAATAAGTGCTACCTATGTACCATTTTTGTGACCACAGGTATCAATGCTGTATTCTACTCTCTCTGTGTGTGTCTGTGCAGATGTGTCTCGCATACAGTGTGTAACATTTCTGTATTTGCTCTCAGGAGTACTTGTCAAGACTGAGGCAGATCCGCCTGCAGAACTTCAATGAACGTCAGCAGATCAAAGCGCGACTCAGAGGAGAGAAGGTACAGTCCTCCACTCTCAGATTCTGAGAGCACCTTTTTAATGTGTGTTTCTGGTTTTCCCTGATATTTTGTCTCCTGGCTCTTGTTGGTGTGTGTTTTAGTATGACAGTGATGGTTCTGACAGCCAGGAGTCCAGTGAGGAGGCAGAGCTCAGGAGAAAGAAGATTGAGGCTTTAAAAGTGGGTAAAAAGTATTACATTTTACAATATGCAACATTTAGATGATAACAAGGGAAACATAGACTAAGATCACCATCAACCACTGACACAACATTACAATTGAACAGATAATAAAAAGACAAAACGAGAAAGATGATGTCATTCAGACTAAGCCAGGATTTTGGAATGACAATCAGCTCCCCTCCAGACTACCTCATCCTGTGACTTGTTCTCTCAGTTGTTTTAATGAGGATTACAAGGTCAGAGATGTAGCTAGATGCTCGACCAGCATGCACCCTGTAGACGAGCAGTACAATCCTATAATCAGTTCTACAATTACCTGGCAACTAGTGTAAAGAAAATAAAACAGGGCTATTATTGTCACACCTGTAAGAGTTCAAAGCCTCGCAGCCGCATTCTGCTCTACCTGCAGACGAAGTGTGAATTCTGAGTGAAACATTAAAAACATAGTAGCATTTCATTAAGGCAACTGAGACAACCTTTTAGAGGTAGGCAAAGGATAGTAATTTGGTCACCAAATTGGACGGTACTCTTATTTTGATCAGCCAAAAAATGTTTGGCCATAGCCTCATTCTTCTTCGTTTGTATGTATTTTTGTACCTGCCAGGCCCAAGCAAATGCTCGTGCTGCTGTGCTGAAAGAGCAGCTAGAGAAAAAGAGGAAAGAAGCACACGAGAGAGAAAAGAGAGCTTGGGAGGACCATGTAAGTTCTATTGTTCTTTGCTCCACCCAAACATTCCTCAGTCAATACATTTACTTGGCCTTAGACATAAGCATAGTCTAATCTTGGGTTTTGTGTATTGTTGCAGCTTGCAGCTCGGGGGGTGAAGGTTGGCATGGCAGCAGGTAACGTAGCAGTGGCAGCAGCAGTAGCAGTATCATCTACCTCTGACAGTCCTATTCCACAGCCCAGTCCTTCTCAGCCAGACTCAGCTGCCAAAGCTCCAGCCCTGCCTGTATCTCAACCCTCCGGCCCAGCCATATCCATGACTGCTGCCCTGAAGAATGTTGGAGCAGTCAGTATACATTTACTAAGTCGTATCACATGCTACACCATCGTATTGTTTGAATATGCATTCCCAAGCTAAATTTGTTTTGCATTTTTTACTTGGCAGATTACTCCACTAAAAGAAAGCTTGCCTGAGCCAGAGACTGCCACGGTCATCCAGGTGAGTGTATGAGATCTCAGTAATCATTTATTCAAGTAACAGTGTGCTAACATGGCAAGAATTCAGTATTCAACAAGATTATTGCTTTTTCTGTGACAGAGTGAGAAAAAGCAGATTCTGCGCAGACTTAACCAGAACCTAAAAGCCCAGAGTCCTGTGGAGGAGACTGAGGAGTCACCTGCAGCCCCAACAGAACCAAGTCCTGCTCCCCAACAGAGCCAGTCTGACACAGAGAAACGTCCCTCTTCAAATGGAGACCGCAAGAAGTGGGATGCAGCTGAACTGCCTGTACTTCCTGTTGCTCAGCGAACCTTAGAGGAAACCTGTGCCACATCAACCGGTAAGTGGAGCTCTGGCAGGACAAAACTCTCAAATCCTGTGTATTAACAGAAGTTACTGTTGTGTGTGCTATACGCTTTACTTGCTACACTTGCTGTATCTTCCAAATCGTTTATCTTTATGTAGTAAGTAATAATAATAATACCATATGTCAGTAGCTATGTTGTGGAAATTCCAAATTCCATAAATTTGCTTTGTAGTGGAATTTATCTACATCTCTGTTGTGTATATAAAGGTTTTGTCTTTTGCTCAGCTTTTTTACCAAACATTCTCTCACCAGCCACCCCTGTATCTCCAGAAGATAGACCATCTTCTGGTGGAGACAGGAAGAAGTGGGAGGCAGGAGTTCCACTTGTTCTCCCTGTAGCCCAACAAACTCTAGAGCAGACATGCATTACAACCATTGGTGAGTTACCTACTCCCTGAGTGAGAACACGCAGACTTCCTGACAATCACAACAGTCTGCAGTGTGCACGTAGAAAACATATGTCTCCTTTCTCTCTCATGTTCTCTTTCTATGTGTAATGTCTCAGAGCAAACAGCGGGTGAAGTTATACAGATGGGCGGGCTACATGAAGAAGCCCCTAGGAAGGTGTGGGGAGTGAGTCCAGACTCTCAGGTGCTGAGAGTGCTTCAGGAGGCAGAGCTTCAGCCTCTCACCCAGCAGCTGGAGAATGTCACCATCTGTGAGGAAGACCTCTATAGCCCTGGTTAGTCTTCATTCAATCTTCATGTTCTTACCAGCCAAATATGGTTAGGTACAAGCAGTACTCAGATGTACAGTGTAAAACATAAATCATTATTCAACTATTTTCAACCTGGTCTTTTTTTTTTTTTTTTTACATTTTAAGTGCTGAGAGTTACTGTTGAGTCACTGTTAATAAAAACTGCCCATATTCTCTGCATATGCTAAGCAATTACTATGTGTATGTGTATGTGTGTGCAGCAGGATGTTGCTTGAAAAGAGTTACAGTACTCAATCATACCTTTGGTATAAAACAATTTATGTCATTATGTGGACATGAAGGACCCTTGTTAATAGTTTTATTTTTCTGTGTGCTGTTTCAGAGAATGCATGGATGGTTATGATTCATGTACTGATGATGCCATATTCTCCCCAGATAAGCCTAACCGGACAGCAACAGCTGAGAGTGCGAAGACACCTAAAGAAGTGTTGCCCTCTCAGCCAATGCCGTCTGCTGTAGTTAAGAGCCCAGATGTTCAGAAGGAGAGTGCACACATCACAAAGGCCCCACAACTGGAAATGTCTGTGGTCGGTGCAGTAGGAAGAGTGATAGTGCCACCCAACCTTACTGAGACTCAGGGTCAGTAGCATACTCTAATATTTATTGGATATTTCTTGGAACTCCTTAAGTATGTTTTTGGGATAATGCAATCCTATCTGCTCTGAATCCTTTCCAGATCCAGCAGACGTGGAGTCATTGGTTTTGGACGAGACACCTAAACAGGCCTCACGTCCCCCAGCTGGTGTGCAGCAGGCATGGGAACAGGAAGCCCAACAGCCAATGTGACTATTCATCATCTATCTAGCTATTTATATTAACAAAATAAACAAACATGAAAAGTCAGTCATTGTTTACTCATCTCAGTATTTAAGTTAACAAGACCATTGTGTTACAGCTCCAATTTTTTATTTTTGGATTGAACAAAATCCTAAAGATATAAAACACGTTTTTTGAGCTAAAGTGTATTTTTCTTTTAGGCCACCAGAGGGTATCACAAGACCGGCAGTCACTAAGGAAGTTGAGAAGAGTGCAGAGAAACCAACAGAATCCTCCGGTGAGGTTAATGTTTAGTGAGCTGAGCCACTTTTTTTTTTCTTTTTTCAGTGTGATTATTATCTTAATTAAATCTGCCCTCCCTTTCCCTCTCCCAGGTTCAGCACAGTGCGAGGAGCCCTTGTTTACGAAGTTGTGTTCCCCAGCCCACCGACGCACTGCTGCCCTTGCAGTCCTCTCAGCCCAGTCCTCCATGGATGAATCATCCTCCTCTCTGGCCTCTCGCTCACGCTCTGTCTCACCTCTACGCTCCAAACACCATGACGCCCTCCTCATTGGTCTCTCTACGGGCATGTTTGATGCCAACAACCCCAAGGTGATTAAAGGCTGAACTCGAATTAAAAAAAAAAACACACTTTTGTTTTTCCACCGGGAATGACAGCATTATGAGGAAAGGTCTTAGGGTAATTAGATATCACATGACAGTATGGGATTTTTTACATTATTTGATGTGATCAGGTGGTTGTGGGGGGGTTGAGGAAATTCACACTTGTTCTTGTGCCTGGTGTGATGTTGAGGCTTGTGTGGTATTTTTAGGTAGGGTTTCAGTCTTCCTTATTAATGAGGGGGTCTGGAATAGAGCCAGAGCCATTAATCACATACTCTGAACCTGCAGTGGGTCTAATAGGACAGAAAGAGCATCCATCAACCTATATCTTTCATAACCTTCATCAGGGACACTGGGATCTGCAAACCCAGCTCAACCTTTTTTAACACACAAAGAGCTACATAGAATATGAATGTAGATTTGTCAGTGTGTTTTTTATAGAGTTTGGTTGTTCTTGACTAGACTTGGTTACTACTAGTTACATTTTCTACATATTCCATAGCAGAGCCCATTCCATTGGTCTCTCTATTACAGATTGTAGAGCTACATTACAGATACAGTTGTAACGGTATGATGTTTTGTCAATCAAGACTTCCTGTCAGAGCCTCATCACAATATACATATAATGTACCTGACACTCTGTTTATTTTATTCTGTTTTTTATTGTACTGTCAGATGCTGCGGACATGCTCTCTGCCAGACCTCAGTCGGGTCTTCAGCCCTCAGCAGGAATCTGCAGTGACTAATGCTAATGCTGCCCCAGACAGCAAACTGGAAATCGAGGACCTGGATGAGGCAGCTAAAGATGATGACCAGTCAGAAACTGAAGAGTAAGACAAACATTAATGAAATGGCAAAAGCAAAAACATGCTTGGGTATGATTTTGGCAGATCGTGAACTGCTGCAGTCTGCAGATGGCTGGTAGTTTTAACAGCTGCCGTACACTGATTCTGTCAATCATTTTCAAAGCAGACAACAATAGAAAAATACACTGGTTTCATCTCACTAAAAAACTATATATATATATATATATATATAATAACAATATCCGTTGATCCATTGTTCCCTAGTGCATATGAGGATGAAGACCTGCGGGACATCCGGGCCTCCATGGAGAGACTGCTGCAGGAAGAAGTTGGTGCAGGAGACTTCAACGGAAACCCTCCAGAGGGCGAAGACCAAGAGCTTTTCAACAGGATAGCGGCTGAGATTGATCAAGACAACAATCAGATGGCTGTAGATGATGATGATGATGATGATGATGATGATGATGAAGAAGAGGAGGAGGAGGAGGAGGAAGAAGAATGTGAGGAGGAGGATGAGGAGGACGAGGATGAGGAATGCTCTAATGGCAGTCCTGGTGATGAAGAAGCAGGGGAGCTGCTTACCAACGGTGTGGGAGAGGAGAACCACAGTAATAACAGCCAGCTCAATGAAGAGTGGCACTCAGGTACGAGGAATTTCACGAGTTCTTAAGCAATTTTATTTCAGCCAGTATAAATCATTTTAATAAGAACAGTAATTTACCACTTTTGCTGACTTGCTGCACGGTAGTGTGGACAACACTTGCAGACTACTTCAGCTTGTATAAAACTTAATCTTGAATTAATATTTTATGTCAGATGATTCATGCCTTTTAATAAGTGGCCATGTAGGTTATTTTTGCAAACTATGCACCTTCAGTATTATGAGAAGTGATAAATCCTGCTGCACCACAGATGGCAGTGGGGAGGACCAGGGCGTAGAGGCTGCGCATCATGACAGCATATTCAGTCGTCTGGAAGAACTTCGCTTCGACCTGGAACAGCAGATGGGCTTTGAGAAGTTCATTGAGGCCTACAATAAGATTAAGGTGTGAAATGTTGCCTCCCTCTTCATATGCTGACACTGTTAAAGGCTGGAACGAAAGACTGATTGAACAGATTGATTAAACTGTTTTTTTTCTGGCATTTAAGGCTATACATGAAGATGAAGATGAGAATATTGACCTGGGCTCCAGTTTGGTGTTGAGCATTTTGGGAACTGAGCACCAGCATCTGTATCCCAACATCCTTCATCTAGTGATGGCAGATGGAGCATACCAAGAAGGTTAGTGATAGTCTGCAACAGTGTCGAACTGTCCTCAGTGGTTTTCCCACAGCACAGCCCTGTGTCAGAGTATGATAACAGAGTGTTTAATCTAATCTCTAAAATCCAATCCTCTTCCCTCAAATTGCCAGCAAGTTGTGAAGTAGATGTGACACCCTTAACACTGTCTGTCTGCTCTTGCTTGCTCTCTGCAGAGTCAGTTGTCAGACTACGGCCACAGCAGCTACAGAGGGGAGTGGGGGTGTATTTATTTTGAGTTTGACAAGTTTCCCTCTGGGTGGGAGCAGTCTTCAGATACATTTTCTCACAGAACATCTCTATTTGACTATTCTTTTGTTTTCTATTTTTACTGCCTTCAGTAGAAGAAATACAGAATGCAAATGTCAAATATCTCCCTCGAGGACCTATCTCAAGATCTGTGAACAATGTATCTTATCGTTCCCATCCATACAGCGATAACATTGTATATATTTTGAAATAACTTTGAGGCATCTGATAAGGAACAAACCCATCTACCGTAGTAATGCAGTATAGTCTATTGGCTACAGTCACAAACAAATTATTCATAACATCCAAGCCCCAAGTTTGAGAAGACTTTGCTGTGGGTTTTAAGTCAATTCTGAAGCCTGTTGTTACCATTAAATGCCAGGTCACATTTATGTTTTGGGAAATAGGCAAGCATCAAGATGTAAACAAGGTGAACTGAACAGATATAAATCCCACCTGTGTTATAGACGGAAGCATTTGTTGCCAATCCTTAAGAGACTGAACTCCATGGCAATTCACCCAAAAGCTGTTTTCACATCTAATGGTGGTCAGGTGATCACCAAAGTCGTAAGGATACATCACCTGGGCACCAAGAATGTCTGTACCTATGTTTGTGTCAATTCACCAATTAGATGTTGAGATATTTCAGAGGGCCTGCTGGTGGTGCAAAGTCAGTAGGATTCATCCCTAAGGGCCCTGAATGTATGTAGAAAATGTCATGGCAATCCAACCAATAGTTGTTGAGGTAGTTTAATCTAGACCAAAGTGGTGTGACCAACTTTGCCATCCCTAGAAAGAACAATGGCAACCTTTTTTACTTTTAAATAAAAGTTGTTCAATTAAGTTAAAGGTTTGTTGTGACTAACTGTATACTGTTTGTGCCTGTTCCTACCATTTTGGAGTCACCTGCTGTCATTTCTTATTAAGATACATAGTCTAACCAGTGACCTCTACCTCTCTAATGAATTATCTGGCGCAACGTGATTCTCTTTCTCCTCTCTCTTCCAGATAATGATGAATAATGTTTTGTGCAATGGAGCTGCTGGCAGCTATGACAATCTGCTAGCTTTCTGATGTCTTCCCATCACGCACATCGTTGGCAGAAGGATCTATGCATGAGGTGTCGCAGCCACGCATCTAACAGTGTTTCAGGCACACTTGCATGATGAATACCTAGTACACTCGAGACTGTTTTTCATACTTTTGACTATCAGCACCTGATACTATCTTCTCACCAGTGTTCATTCAAAAGTGCATTATGAAGTACATGTTCTTATTAACCAAAGTTAACGTCAAGGTTCTGTCAAATGTTCATGAAAGTCTGTGTCTGTAAATGAAACACATGTATGGTCACGTTGATTAATGGCATAAACCCTGTTGTGTTTCAGTTTGTGGTTGGTTCAGTTAGAACTGCAGTGGCATTTTATTTCGGTGGGCAAAGATCTGGTCCTCTCAGGTGCTCTCTTTCTAATTGTCACATACTCAACCATAGCTTCAAAACACAAACCAGGTCACCATCAACACAAATGTACCAAGATTTACTCAGAACCAGTTCAACCTCCTTTTCTTACAACTCTTTTCTCCAAACAAGAAGTTAAATATGATCTAATACATTTTCCACATTTCTTACTGTTTCAGTTAACCCAGATTAAAAGATTTCTTTGAGACTGCTGCTGTATGATGCCAAGTCCTGTAGCAAGGTTGTGGCATGAGAGTGGTGGGCCGGGTCAGATTGTTGTTCAGTGCGGAGAGCTGATGATGTGAGCAATGGTACGGATGTTAACAATAATTCATATTTGATTATAAATTAAATATTGTAAATCTTTATATAAAATAAACACTTTTTTAAAGAACCAGAGGACTTTTATTTTATTTTCTTTCTATCTCACTACCCTGTAGACTGTAAGCTATGGGTAAGTGAGTCCATTAATGCTTGCAAATGAGTCTGTCTTACATTATAAAAGATGTTTTATAAAAAGTATGCCTTTCACATGTTATCAGACAGTGGTGCTGATGGCTAATACACAAGACTATTTTCATCCACACCCCTTCAACAGACAACTCACCCTTCTGTCAGCCAGCAAGATTTATTTGTAGGTGCAATCCCTGTGGAATAATATAACAACAGGCTCCAGAGCTCTAACACCATGTCTGATTTAGTGTGACAGGAGAAGAGGCTGTGCTTCCTCTGAGTTGGAGCATAACCAGGTAATTGACTGTAGCATCCTTCCAATAAGAGTAAACAAACCTATTTGATAATGGAGCTGTCCAGCCTTTCATGACTTTAACGATGTAATAATTTAACACTATTCTGTGAGACTGTTGAGTCCATACCTGTCATTGAAATATTCACGTGTGTGGTAATCATGTATAACAAATACCAAATTTAACTATACAATTTGGGTTTTTATTTCCATGTTTGTTGTTTGCGTCATTCAGCTGTAGCTGTAAGTTTTAATTAAAACAACCACCGATCCAGATCTTGTCCAGTAATTTTGATGCATGACTGGCAGATTGAAAACACCAACCTTCACATGAACCTGCCATTATTGAAATTAAACTGTCAACTGGGAGATGGCTTTTGTCATCTGTGCTAAAATTATGACATAATTAAATTCAAATGTGAAGGCCCAGCATGCATTTTCAAGCTGGCGTATTGAACATGCAAATGCAAAGTCAATTTCAGATTAGTTTTTTAGTGTGGAAGGGTTGTGTATTGGATTACATTGTGTTTTAATTTTTTATTTAACACTTGGTAGAAATGACTCAGTATCAATGCAGAATTTTGATTTTGCCTTGAAAATACACACATATATGGGTTCCTGCCTTCTGCACTATCCAATCTAACTTTATTCAGGCATTAGTTGAAGGCCAGAGAGGAATAGCACTTAAAGCTATTAAATGCTGTGCACAACAGAGCAAGTCATTCAATATTTATGCTGCATGGTGGCGTTGTGTCTGTTTGTTGTTTCACTTTAGATTTAGTAATTCTGTTTTATGTCCTGCTCTGTGCCTTGTATTATGCATGGGTGGTAGTTTTACCTCAGTAGAGATTTGCATTTTACTTGTACAGAGGCATATACAGTACAAGAGACTAGGCAACTGTCTATTCAAGTACCATGATGAGAGCTTGAGGGCTTCTGACAAAATGCTTATAGCTTTCTTTGAAGTATTTACTGAGGAAAAGACATTATAGGCTCTGTTTAGAGTCATAGTATGGCACCACTGTTGGTTGGTTAATGCCTGTTTAATTTTTAAATGACTGACTGAGAGACATGACTTTGATTTGCCAAAATATATCTACTTGGTTCTTCAGCCTCCAGCGGTTAAACACTAGAGAAAGACATAAATAGTTTTGCACCTAATTTGATCTTTATAATCAGAATGCAACTGATCTCTTCAGTTCTTTGTTCATTAATTCTGTTACAATGATAACTGCACTAAAATTAGACAGGGCCATGAGGAGAACAAAAAGACAGATCAGAATATATTATCATATAGTCTCATACAGATATGTTCTCTGTTTGACGTTATACTTATGATGACATTAATTCAATTCTTGGTTTGAATTTTCCATAAGGCCTGTGTTTGGCGTGAACCCAGCTCTCAAAGGGAAAAATCAGCCCACAGAGAAATATATGCACTCAACCATTATCAGGCAGCATTCATTGACATTCAGCTATGGTCCCTAATCTAATTTGAAAGCGGCTTGCCTCAGGCTGAGTTAGTAAGTTAGAAAGCCTTATCAAAGTAATACAAATGGAGAGCGCTGGACGTGAGGGTCCTGATCTTAATAGCATATTAAGCCCAAGAGAGGATTTTGGTCTGGTTTCAGATTTAAGACATTGTTGTTTTAAGAAGTGAAATATGTAGTATTATAACTTGTGGAACAGCACGATATGCTTTTTAAAAATGGTTTTCCACTTTCAACACTTTGCACCTTGAACATCTATTTACAGTAATGGACTGTACAAGAGAGGGCAATATTTCTGTCAAGGTTTATCCCTTCATGGAAATTGGGACATATGTCTTGTCATGTCCTCTCCTGCTTTCCTTGTCCCCATTTATAGACAGTAACACAGCTGTCACCTCCATCATGTGAGAGTGTGTGTTTCTGAGTGTGTGTGTGTGTGTGTGTGTGTGTGTGTGTGTGTGTGTGTGTGTGTGTGTGTGTGTGTGTGTGTGTGTGTGTGTGTGTGGACGGTGATCTTGTTTTTGCCCTCAGGTGCAGTAATTACTGGAGATTATTGCCTTTCAAAGTCTACAAATCATCCCTGCTGCCTTTCTGAATAACATTAAGCAATGTCTGAAGCCTTTTTGCTAAACAGCATGGAATGTGTGCAGAATGCGTGTGTGGTAATATATAGGGGTCAAGCAGAAAAGGAGGGCAGGGGCCATTGTCTCAGCTGAGGTGGAGGGGGTGGATTTGCTGCCTCTTCACAGTGAGGAAATATGACCTGAGGGCTCCTGCCAGCTCCCATAGGATCACATGTGACAGAGGAGAGCCACCTCCATATAAATCTCCTTCTTTATTGCTCTTTTCTAGCTCTCCTTCATCTCTCCCACTTGCTCAATATGCAGTGTCCTCTGAATGAGATAAAAATAAATCATATGTTTATTGTCTGGCTGTGGCTCTCTTGCTTTCCTCTCCCTCAAGTAGTTTTTGCTTGTGCCATTGCGATGAAGGTTATTTGGCATCAAAGGTCTATTCTAAATGTACTTTTTATAATAAAAACAGCGCCTTTGGAAAAGAGCTCTCCCTGCGGGCTTTTTGTCTATTTTTATATGAGCCAGTGACAGGTCTGTCAGTTGGCTTTTGCCTCAAGAAAAGATACAGGATAATATAATCCAAAGCAGGGTTCTGGTCTGATGCAATTTATATTAGAATAATCTTTTTTGTGATGTGAAAGATTACATTATGTGAGATAAGGACAGTTGTAATTTCATCACACAATTTATTTACAGCTGCCACCATAACATGATTTTCTTTTTCAAGCAGGACTGACAATATATAGCACCAACTGTATGTGGGACTTATCCATTTGTAAGGATTATTGTTGCTGAAGAGGTATAGAAAAAATGCTTGTTTTCACCAACAAATATTGAGAAATGTGACCACCAGATGTCTCTATTCACTCTGCAATACTCATTTAACTACGGTATGTTAAGAGTAAAAACCTATACTTTAAAAAGTAAGTAAACCACGTATTGCTGTATATTGTGACAGTAACTGAACACTGTATGCTGCTACTGAAATGCAACAGAAAAAAAACTTGGAGTTTAGAGACAATTTAAGTAGCTATGCCATGGATCAGGAGTGCTGGCTTTCTGATGTCCAGAGATGTCGCCAAATAATGAAATAATAAACAAGTTATTTTCCACCCCGCCTGGGAATAGATGCTGCTTTCTGACACATCATTACATATCATTAGACGCTGCAGTTCACGCCCGTTTGACAACGCTGGATGACGCCTTCTTGAGGCCCTCGGAAATTTCTACTTTCCAGTACGATTTGATTTTCAAGTACTTTTTTAATAGCAAATGTGGCATAGAAATATTAATGCTGACATAAAGTCACTGTAGAAGCTGTTAGTCTCCATCATGACAAAAATAATGGCGAGAGACAGTAATGTCCAGTCCTGTAGCGGACAGAGGACGTATTTGTCGTCATAGTTTTTAAATTTAGTAATTCATATAAGTTACACATATATTTTTTCACGGCGTTGCATTTGCAAGGTAATTTGTTGGCTCCCCAGTCGGCTCATCCCTTTCCCGACAGCACTTGAAGCCCACACACTCCCTCCCCCTCTCTGCCTGTCTCCAGCACACAGTCCAGCGGAACAGAGCAGAAGTAGCGTACTAGCATGGCGCTCGGTGCAGTTGGAGTTCCGTTGTCTTGCCTGTGTCCTTTTCATGTTAGGTTTTACTTTACTATCTGACAGAGGCGTGTTTGTAACATACTTCGTACGCCTATAAAGAAAACATATCTCGGAAGAAGAGTAGTATTTGTTTGGCGAATACTCCAGATAAGTGGCCAGTATATTCCAGGTAGCTTGCTAACTAGTAACGTTAGCAAGAAAGCAAAAATTGGGAGATACGGGGCAACAAGAGGAGGAGTCCTGTTTTGGAAGAGGTAAGCTGAATTGCATTAAGTAGACGGATGCTTTTAAAGTGGTATAGATGAATTGCTTTCTTCCGAGAAGTTATAGAAAACATGTTTTGAAGTATAACGAATGCTGTAAGAACTTCATATTGTTAGTAAGCTAACGTTACTTTAAAGGGGGCGGCATTAAAGTAGCCCCTCGCTAGCGACCTGTGCTAACAAACAAACTTACTTTTACATTCGTACTTTTAATTTACCGAGAAATAACTATTTGCGCTGAGTACTACTGTCATTAAAAGTCCCTTAACTATCAGTACACGTTTTTAGTGCTCTTAAATGTTAGGTAATATTGACATGTTTAACGTCACTCTACTGCTGTACAAGCTTAAAATATCTAATATGTTTTATCGTAGAAATTCTTGTCATGTCCTCATTTATACGCTGGGTTACATCAAGCCGATTTGTTTGCAGTATAGCCTACTCTCTTTTTTTTAACCACCAGAGAAAGTGAGCTGATGACACACTCGATATATTTCCCACCATGTTTTCGCTCTTGAACGACAAATCACAGCCTTTCACTCCCGCATCGTCGGCAGGTTTCTGTCGGTCACGGCGTGTTGACCGTACAAATGGTCCAGGGTCCAAGGATCCGATATCACAGTTTACAGGTGTTATTATACGTTGTTGAGTAAATTAGATTAACTTGGCTCCAAATCCTGTATTTGTTAATCTAATAACAGGCAATAGGATAGTGGCTGTGTGCTTTACCAGTGTTATCAGCGCATCACTTAGCTACGTATCAAATGTAGCGTGAATGAGTCCGTTTTGCTGTGTGCCAACTGAAATGTAACATTTCCCATGCTCAACATATGAACGCTGCACAGTTTCAGCCATATGTGATGTCTGTTGAATGCATATGCCATGACCTATTTCTTGTGTGTACAGCTGATTAATTTGCATGTCTTGACCCTCTTTTAGAGCTGAGGCAGATGTCATGGCCACAGCCGAGGTATGGCAGTAACGTGACAGTACTGGCCCTGCTTCCAAACAATTACCTAATCGGCATCATGGTTTTCTGCTGAAGTAGTGGCAGAACACACAGAGAATGGACGAGTCAGTATTGTTGGATTTGCTCGAGTGCCCTGTTTGTCTGGAGCGACTGGATGCCTCAGCAAAGGTCCTTCCCTGTCAGCACACCTTCTGCCGCCGATGCCTCCAAGGCATCCTAGGCTCACGTGGAGAGCTGCGTTGCCCAGAGTGCCGGACGTTGGTGGAGTGTGCCGTGGATGAACTCCCAAGCAATATCCTTCTTGTGCGCTTGTTGGATGGCATCAAGCAGAGGCCTCGAAGGGCTGGTCCTGGGGCAGGAGCCTGCACCAATGGTACGTCTGGAGCCATGGCCAGAGCACACAGCAGTGGAACCAGGGACCAGGGAACCCCAGGAGCACAACCCCAGCGAGCTCAGGCAAAGAGCACCCTTGTCCGGGTTAGTATACTCACTGTGACTGAACATGGATCAGTGAGCATGAATCTGTGTTTCCCATTGTTAGGGTCAAGCTGAAACAAAACAGAGAAAATCTGTGTGGATTAAAAGCAGCATGTTGCATTACTGGCTCTCTAATCTTTGCTGCGGATTAACTGTTATCATGGTGATCTGAAAGCCAGCCAGTTGACTAGCAGCCCAACATTACTAATGGAAATGATTGAGACCAGTTAATAGTTGAGCCAGCAAATGATTCTGCTCTCTGTGCCGGCTGCAGCTGGGCTTTTCCAGTAAGAAGGCTTCTCAGTTCGTTCTTAGTTGCTGACAATGCCGTATGCCTAAGTCTTTCTTGCACTTGAGATTGCTGCTGTAGTGTTGCTTGTGAATGTACGTGAGAAATGCAGGGTGGGACTACAGGGTGGATGTTTTATCTGCAGTACTGCGAGGAGTTGTAAAGTTAAGAAAACAGAAGAAAATTGTGAAATGTTCAGAGGGTGTGTTTCAGCAGTTTCACTTAAAGAGATGAACTTTTAAAGACAGATAGATAGCGAAAATGGTTTCTCTGTAAGCCCAGGGAAAAAGGTTGATTTTAATGTGTTTTTGTCCTAATGGTTATGCGGAAATGCAGACAAGGTGAAAACAGGTGCTTAAAAATGTCATGGCGTGTCTTGCTTTAGTGGTTTGGTGCAATTTTAATGTTATTTATTGTACCTTTTACCTCTAACAGGGACTGCTTTTTTCTTTATTATTTACAGTGCTCTCTGGGAAAGTCAATACTCAGGATATTGCAATTGTAATATTGCTGCTATTACACTTCTGTTTGAATGTGGTACTTTATCTGAGCCTCCCAGACTATTTGGGGTGAGAATATAATATGTTGATTTCTCAACACATCCCTCAAGATTCTTTACATTTTGTGCTGTAAATATACCCAAATCAATCACATTTAATAATCAAAAATCACATTTAAGTTAGTGTTTGTGATGGTATTGCTTTAACATTATTGAGAACCTGGCTCCAAAAAATGTGAGGGAGCAAAAAAATGTGGAAAACGCGTGGGCCCCTGTTTGAGCAGCTCTGGTCTCAACATAGGGAGGATAGTTTAGATGAAAAGATGTCAAGGTCCTGTGTAGAATCATTGGAATGTCAAAGCGCTGATAATGTATCTGCCTAGCAATGCAGGTACGAAGATCAGAGACCTTCCTGTAAATCGCTACTGCGGTACCCGCCTCATTTGCCATAGTATCACTTCAGAGGATACGTGCTCTTTTCAAAGCTGTTTGTGCATTGTGGAATTTCCCTCGATTCTAAAAAGCCTGTTTGTTGGAGATAACCTCTCTTATGTTTTTAAGATTCACAGTAGATTATAATCCCTTAGCGTAGGAAAGGATGGTGCAGCACTCCCTCTTGCAGACATTGTATGAAAGCTTTTTGTCGGAGTTTGTATAGTTGTTTCTTTACTATTTTGTCATGTCTATTGACTAATAGCGTCTCTCAAGTGTCCTCTGCCATTCTAAGGCATTCTGCTGATGACAGGGAACAAGAAAAGACATGGCCGTGCAGGTGTAACGTTTTAAGAACATAAAAGGCAGAGATCAAAGCTCTTGCTGATTGCCCAGTCTGATCTCTGGCCAGTGCTCCATGGGGACTAAGCGCTTCACTGCCCCTGGCTGACACCCTTAGTCCCACTTCTTTATTGTTCGTCGTCTGTCCCCCGATTTTTGGGGTATCTCTCAAGGCTAGAAGCAGCTCCTCTGGTGCATTGCCCCTGTTCAAGAAGAACTCCCCCTTCAATTCTTATATGGCCAGAGAATGGCCGGGAGGAGGGGAGTGAAGGGGACTGCCTGACAGATGCACAACAGGGTTTTGTTTCGGGTCCCCTCTGATCTTACTGACTGACCGACACGTGTAGAGTGGGAGAGAGAGAGAGAGAGAGAGAGAGAGAGAGAGAGAGAGAGAGAGAGAGAGAGAGAGAGAGAGAGAGAGAGAGAGAGAGAGAGAGAGAGAGAGAGAGAGAGAGAGAGAGAGAGAGAGAGAGAGAGAAGCTGATGAGTGTTAAGTGAAGGCGTCACGACCAAAAGGGACAAATGTTTAGTGTGTAACCTTGCACAGTCAGCTTTCTGCTCCTCCCCTTAACATCTCCAGGGTTGCAGCAGTTGTTTGACACTCTGCCCTGGCATTTCTTTGATGAGGGGAATGAAAGGGCTCGTCTTGAATGTAGTGCTGTGGTTGTCTGGCCCTTCACAGTCAGGTTGATGACTCACCTCTGTGGTGCTCCGTTACATGGATGTTTTGTCTTCCTCTTGGCCTTGTTGACTCATATAACACAGTATTTTGTTCACACAGATTGAGAACAGATAGCTCAGTGGTATTTTTGCGTGAGAGGGAGTAAAGCCATTGGAGCTGTCTGGAAGTCAAAGGTCAGGGTTCAGGAGTCATGGCAGTCAGGGGTCGGAGCCGACGAGGGAGAGGGGAGAAGAATTAGAGAGGGATTTCTGTGGATGTCTTCAGTTATCATTATGGTCCTCTGGAGAGTTGAGCCATTACTCCCCACAGACTCAAACTGGAACTTTTATGGTCATTTCTGTCTCTAACATAAAAGCTTTAATGTTCAGTTTTAATGGTTTTGTGCATTAGCCACAGTTTAGAGTTTATGTTACATTTAGAGCTCTAATATGTACCATAATATGTACTGTAATAAGGCCTTAATCAACAATAACTTTACTCAACTACCGGTATTGGATGTGAGAGTGTGTATGTGTGTGTCTTTGTGTATTTAGTTGATGGGAAATTAGACACTATTTTTTCCTACGCTCTTGGGGATGTAATTAGGTCATTGTCTTTTCTTTGGTATGAGAGCTTTATACAAGGAACCTTTTTATAGGCTTCTTACATTTGTTGGCCCCCCTTCACCTGCCATTATTTCTCACTGTCTTCAAATCCATTAATAGATTATAAACAAACAGGAAGCAAAACACAGCCTTTTAATTTTGTTTTATTTGCTGCTGTTTGAAGGAAGTTGTCTAATGTTGCCCACAAGACATTGCAGTTTTTTTTGTTTAGTTATTTTTATAATAAAGTTGTGGTGTGTTCTGCCCTATCTCTTTTGTAGTTGATTTATTTCTTCAGAGCAAAAGAATGTTGTTTATGGCTTCCTTATGTAGAGGCATCTCATTAAAATTCCTGCGCACCTCCCTCGGCTGAGGTCGATGAGTCACGCAGGCCCTCTTTGATGACATCATATTGTTGTTGAAGCCTTTCCTCTTGGCCGGCTGGCTGACCTCTGCCTGCGCGACAGAACCCCGTCATTATACCCTCACGCTGCCCACATACTGGCAAACACATACTTACTGCTCTCCACTGGGAAATTTTCGAGAGGGCTTTGGTCTATTCATTCGTGCTCTCTCAACACACTCACACTTTTCTCTTGCCTCCTCTGTATTTCCCACGGAGGTCTACAAGTAGCCGTGACCTTCTGGACAGTGCGTGTCAGGGATTTTGGAGCCACCTGTAATTTTCTCTTGAGACACTGACACAAGCTGTATTTTTCCCATATTTCTACAGTGTACCTCCTCCCTGCTTGCCGTCTAAATCCAGGTTGGAGCTTGTTAAAGGTCTAATGAGATTAGAGTTTATTAGAAAGTGAGTCGACACTGCTCCCCGTTCTCCTCTTACTGCTGACTGCTGACTCTCATTCTGAGGAAACAGAACACTTGTTATTTAGTGAAGTAACCTGTCTGTCTGCGTCTCTGGTTGCCACTGTGTTTTTACACACTTACCTGATACACCTTTAGTCAGTTTGTTTCTTGTTGACAAGCGTGGTTCAGTTGAGTTCAAGATTTTGAATTATATTTATAAATGAATGGTTTCTGACTGTGCTGATAATTAAGTATCCAGAAAGCAGGTGGATAATGAGAGACCACACCACCAACTTGTAAGGGGAGCATGATTATTTTGAACCCAGAAGATTGCAGATCTGTCTATTTCCTATACCACCCATCCTGTACAAGCTCACACGGTGGAGTGGAGCCTATCCCATCATGCTTTGGGCAAGAGCATGGGTACCTGGACAGGCCCCTTGAACAGGTCGGCAATCTCTTTCACTGCCTTCTTACATAGACAAACATTCATCATCACTATACACCTCTTTACAATTCTCACATTCCTGACCGTTCTTACCAGTGAACAGTGAATGTCTTAAGTGGCCAGTTATGCTGTGGGAAGTGATTGTCCTCCATGTAGGAGTTTACATAATTCCCAAGGAGAAGTTCAAAAGACCCAATCATGTGATTAAGGTGCAGCCATGGCCTCCTCATTGTAGTGTAACACTGCTCCCCTGACGAAGGGTGTGTGTCTGTCTTTGTCTTTTGGGGCTATCAGGAATTTCCACACAGAGGAAAGAGTTGTTTTGCTCAGTCTCTTCTCAACCTCTTTTTCCCAGACAGAGTAGGATGTTTTGTGTTAGTGTCTAAGTGTGTCTCTGAGGAATGCCTTGAGTAGTTGCAGGTCACTGTTTCTCCTCTAAACATTGGGCTTGTCTAATCTCGTCCCACTTGCCAGCTCACGTTCACCTTCCTCAGTAAACCTTTAAGTGTCAACATGTATTTATGTGTACTTTCTGACTGTTTTTTTGCTGTTAGACATTCAATGCTGTTCTTTGACTCACAGTTAAATATGAGTTGAAAGGATGGTGGAGGCCTGTCATATGCGTAAACTCTGTAGTTTGGTTGACAATCATGCTTGCAGTGACGTGCCTCAGCACCTGAAAGCCCCAGGGCATACTCACCTGTAGCAGTGGTATCGTGTTGCAAGACATCTTTTTATATTCATCCAAAGGGCTTGCCATCTGGCCATCATTTTCTGGACAGTTTGGACTGCCTAGCTCCTGATGTGAACTGATTACATTAAGCCTCATTGTGTAGGGTTTTTTTTTTAACAAAGATGTGTTAATGTTTGTTATAATTTCCAGCCACTTCAACACTAAATTCTGGGTGGTCCACCGA